TCAGTTGGGAAGCAGTGTCAGACTGAAGTACTAATTCTAGCACACAGTACTCTAAAAGATCTTACTTACCCAGTAACAGCTGCAGTTAGTTTGCCTTAATAACTTATTATAGTATTTCCCATTATTAGTCAGCACACACAATAAGACATGACAGAAATAATGGAAAACTGCTCACTAATGCAATTAAAACAGGAGTTGGACCTCTTATCTAAATTCGTTTTTTGCACAATAAAAGATTGTGGTAAAGATAGCCAACCAAATTAATTATGGTCAATCACAATCTGTGACATCTGTGACTGTTTATAATTAGTAATTGTGGCTAAATATTGGTTTTCACTAATGTGTAGGTGTGCTATTACAGAAGTAAATCTATTATTTATATTGCTTTGATTAAAAGTAAATTATTCAATAATGTTGATTCAATTCAAAATGATCCTCTTTCTGAAATATCTAAAACAAGAAGTAGCTGAAATGAGAAACCAGGTAATGAGAAGTGACATTTATTTAAACTGGTTTTATTATCCTACTCTGCTAATTGCTTGCTGTAATCTTTACATTTAGAAACCCAAAGCAGAAAACAAGTAGTATAGCTGAAATATCCGGTCTTCTTTGGTCTTGTCCCCTGTATAACACAATAAATAAATGTATTTAAATTAATTATTGAAAAATATCCCCTGTGCCAGGGTTCGAGAATATGGGCTCACAGCAACAGTCAGCACATCTAATGGCTGTCCTGGTTTCACTCTGTCACTCACACAGTGCTCTTAAGCTGTCAACACACTCCTATGCTGGTCATTATATAAGCAAAACCTCACTGCAGCGGAAGGACAACAGGAATGATAGCTGGAAAGCAGGGAGTAATAAGGTTTTATGAGACAAAATTGATATAAATATTAAAGACCTATAGGAGTATGTGTCTGAACCTTAATATTACAGACCCATGTCTGAAATACCACAATTGTCTCTCTTGTTTCAGTTACAATTCTGAGTAAGACACGAATAAGGAATTTTGTTATAAAATGCACGGCATTAAATGCTGAAATGTGATTATTATTCAAGCGAGCAGTTTTCTAAATATTCATTTGAAAAACAAATTAGGCAGCTATACCGGAAGCTGATGCAATATACAGTATTCTAGTAATTCTAATAGTATTGCTATTCCTTTGGTCTTACTAATATCCTAGTAATCCCTCAGGTAAATAGAGAAATGCCCACATTTACATGGTCTAAGGTTTTGTTTAAAGTCTGGAAAGTAGTGCTTTTTTTACTCATGTTTATCCGGAAATCCTTCTGAAGACATTGCTCCCTGACTGAAGGAAGAAAGTCCAAGTTCAAACCAGGACTTGCACATTGGAAACTTCTGCATTGCTTCCACTGTCACTACTTGTTATGAATAATCATTTCCATGCATGAGTCTTGCGTAACATACTGTGAGTCGAACACCTCTGTGAGTCTAAAGATTACTGAATTCCAGCAAATTGAAAATATTGTAATTTGACGTTCCAGTAAACCAAGACAGCTATTATGACTGCAGAACTTGCTTAAAAGCCTGTATAACAGCTGTTTTTTTATTTGAGTTGTACATTAGTACTATTCTAGCAGTAGTAAATATATAGGCATATTACTACACACTTGCAATTTTTGTAATGTGAGATTCTCTACGTAGAACTGAGATGGTAACCTTCACTGATTTAACACAATCAAATTTAAAATTCCCATTAACTTTAAGAACATTGTTTGATTATTTCCCTTTGTATATATCATAAATATATCTTATTATCTAATATTATTGCAAGGCTTCTCTTTTTAAAAGCATTTCACTTTTAAAAAGATTCACTTCAGGTTATTAAAAGGTACAGCCCCTTAAGAAATGCATGTAATATTGCAAGCTGAAATACATATTCATCGGTCAACAGTGGGACATTTTTGGGGGGATTGGGATTTGCTTTTTGAGGCGACAGGACACGCTGATAGAGAGGCAATCTCTAAAACTTCTACAGTCTTGGATTGTATTAAGATGCACAGTTGAGGAGCTTCCTTATTGACAATAAGAAAAGGTGCACACCCGGTGCAGGCTGAGCTCTAACATCATAGGTTTGAGCTCTTGGTGTGTTATCAGCCGACTGTGACTAGGATACCCAAAGCAACAGAGCATAATTGAGCTCTGTCAATGGCAGGACAGGATTAGCTGGCTGAACATCCAGCACAGGGCTCTGTTGACTGCGATGTGCTAAATGAAGGATTGAAGGTTCCTTGTTCTCTGCTGTGTGCAGCCACAGGGTTTATTAGCCATGAAAAACATGCAACCCGTGATAACAAGTTACTGTAGGTGGGACAGAAGGATGATTATACCTATGATTGCCATGATACAATACCTATATGGTATATGATATTCCCTTTTTCAATTCCTCTGACCTATTCTTGCACTTTGTTCCTTTTGTTCTTCTTAGCTTCCAGTCTCACTCAAGTTCCTGCTCTCTTCCTCATTCCTCCACAGACCTGAAACTCTAAGAAGGCTGCACTGCTAAAATATAGTTTTTCTTCTTTCTTATCAGCATGAAATTACTATAAATTATAGATGATCTCTGATTTTGCCAATCCTGTTGACTGGAGTACTATTGAAAAATCCTGAATTGTGGGTTGTTGTTTTTTTTACTTTTTATTTTCTATATTTAAGACTACAATAAAACCATGTATATTTCTTAGGTTTTTAGAAAGTGCAATCCTGATATATAATTATAGTGCTGGACACCACCGCATGAAGCTACATGGAGCAGTGTTGCATTTTGTCAGTGGTTAGTACCAGTGGTCTGAAGGAGTTTGGGAATGTAATTTAAAAATGGGACACCACTGACTATATTAATCTTTGTGGCCAAAAATGGGACATCAATTTCCATGTTACAAATAAAGAAACTTAATGTAATTTGAGAAAAATAAGTATTCACAGTTTTTACACTAGTAACTTTGTCACATACAGTATAATAGGATGTGGGAGCAAGAAAATCTTCTGCACATTATAATGTTAATGCTATGCAGAGGATTTACGTTAATATTTTTTTTTATTCACATTGAGTTGTATTAAAAGTAGCTAGGGTCTTATCATTATTTTGTACGTAATTATTCAATTTAAGAAATTAATTTTATTTTATTTTATTGCCTATATGTCTACAGAAATTACAAATTTGCATATCCAGGTCATACTTATTTAGGGAAGTTCAAACTCTTATTTCCTTATTGGAAAATACATCGGTTTAAGTGAACTGACAAACACCGCAAAAGTCCCCGTGACGCTTTTTACCTTAAATGTATACCTCCGTACGTGCGCAACACCTGGTGACGTCGTAGTTTCTATGGTTCTCCTTGTGATTGGCCTGCCTTTGTGCGTCCTGCCTCCTCTTGTTGTTTTTCCTACAGGTATGTCTTTCTGAAGCGCATAAACAACACGTTGATCATTACTGGAGCTGAGATAGTCTAGATTGAGAGAAGATCCCAAACCGACACCATTGGCAAAAACAACGAAAATCCAAGGGTTTTCACTAATAAAAGCACAGGTAAGCTTGGTGTTTGTACATATGACTTAATAAGGGAATTTGGTGTCTCTTCCAGCGTTTTAATTATTTTATCTCAGGTTTGGTACTTTTAGATGGTAATACGGATTTTTTCTTTTCATCTATAATGTGTCTGGAATCCTATTGAAGCTTTTTGATGTGTTAGTAATTCGCTTTATATTTACTTAAAATAACTCAAAAACAAGTAGTAATTACATGATATATTACCACTACTTGTATTTGTTGTGGGGGAAGTTTTATACTTCTATATCTGAAAATATATTGCGATTAGTTACATAGAAATGCAAATATTTTTTTCTTTCTTATATACAGTTGATCAGTGAATTCAGTCAAAGATCGTTTGGCTGGGTCTGTGTTTGCTGATGTTATTTTTTGTATATTTGTATGAATGTTGAAATAAAAGCTTGCTGGTATTTGAAGTGTAGCTGTGCAGTGCTGTGCTGCACTAATATCATCCATGCAATTTATGTGGGTCTAGTGAGTCTGATAATTAACAAGTTCCACTAATTTTTAACTAAATGAATGTAGTTTATATTATCTGTATTCAGAAGTTATGTTAGAGCAAATATGTCCAAGTTTCATATACAGTACAGTATAATGCTTTCAAACTCAGTGAACGCTTCTTGGCCGTTAAGACATAAGTAAGCTTTCGGTCTCAGAATTAAAAGGAACTAAGCGGTAAAAGGGTGGAACATCCTGTTGCTTATGTCGGAAGACGTTCTTATACATACAGTACTGTACAGTATGTTAATACGGAAGAGTTTGTGTGCTTGCAAGTTTCACATTTTTAATTACCCTCTGTAGTCCATGACTCCCTTAAGAATACATTTTTCCAAGAAAAACTCGAAAGGATTCGAAGGCTCTCAGGGCGTATTTTCTAAATAACAGTACCACATCATGTCAAGTTTTTACCTGAAAGTTGGAAGCGATCCCGAAATCTGTAAGTAGCAACAGAGCTGCCGTTTCCTGTTTTGCCTGCAGATATGCGAATACATATTTGTGACAATGACTTATAATTTGTCAAGACCTGCAAAATTATTTGACTTGCTTCTTCTAAAAACTGAAATACAGACGTTGAGCTCTGATTGCAATTTAAAACGTTCCCCTGTGTTTGGGGTTAATGACTTTAAGCTGAAGGTCTCCTTAAAATTGTGTTCTCCATTCTGTTTCTATCCAGTCGCGGTTAGTGTAGTTTACTTTGCAGTTTGTTTCGACGTGGACAGGTGAAACTTTTCTTTTACCCTAGATACACTGTTAGATCCTCAAGAGTTAACCTATAATTACGTGCAACATGGGGGTTTCAGTGGAGATTTAAGATAAAGAATCTGCTAGGGACAGTTGTAAAAAACAGGCAAAACAAAATGTCGCCGTTGCTGAAGGTATTTTAGTAAAGATTTCTTCATCTGTTTTATGACTATTAATTATATTCTGGTGGGTTTTTTTTTTGTTCCTCAGTCCATTGTATTTATGAACCTCGTGTAATGTGCTGTGTTATTTTGCACTAATAGTCTGGAAATACAATGTTTAAAAGAGACATGAATCGCTTAATTCAAATAAAACATGCCAATAGACAATAAACACACCTAATCACCATCACCACCAACCTACAGTAGTTACTGTACATGAACTGAACTCTCTGCATAAAAAAGTCTCTGCATTCATCTCAAGTATCCCTCTTCCGCCCCATCTTTATCTTGCAGCTACCCCTTAAATGGGATTTGAGTCTCCTTGTCCTGTGGCCAGGAGGCTACCCATTAACCAAGCAGGTTAAACCTACCTTTTCTCTCCAAGTATTCCAAGCATTAAAAAAATCCATGGATGCTACTGTCCCTAGTCAGTTGTTTAATAGTGTTGATTCTACCATTAAAGGTGATACAAAGAAACTAAAAAGGCATCTAGAAACCAGTCTTTCAGGAGCCTGGTAAGTTGGTGACAGTGTATAAAACTGATTGTTATAACCAACGCAAATATGAGCAGGAATGCAACCTTTACGTATTCCAACCTAGCTTTGCAATCAGGACTCTGGAGCTCTGAGAAAACTAATGATCATGCCACCTTTTTCTCATTGTGTGAAACATGGTTCTTTTGCACACAAAGATGATTTTGCTTAACTCTAGAAAATCAAAGAAATAAATTATCTTCGGAGGCGAAGGGCGGAGGTGTATACATAATAGAAATATTGATTTTAATATAATAGCAATGTTAGTTGAAGAACTTACAATTTGGCTACAATTTCTTTACTTATATAATCTTTTAATGGGAAAAAACTGCACCATATTTGGTGCCATCTGTTTCCTATTGTTGTGGGTTCATACTGTATCTCATGCTTTTCTTGTAGGGGCACCAGAATGCAGCACACTATGACCAGAGCAACGATGAACGGCCATTCTGTGAACCCCCAGGTGCTCTCGCTGGGTCAAAAAGATGCACAGAGAGTTCTGGAGGTGTATGTGAGGCGTAGCTTGAGTCTGAATGAGGGAACTCTGGACAAGCACAAGAACAGAGTTCGCCGGTGGGAAACGACAATGGGGGGAAATGGTAGAGTACGAAGAGCATCTAGTGATACTTCAGTGGATTTGGGACCTCCGGATAAGCAGGACCCAAAGATGGCATCTGAGCCAGCACAGTCTGAGAGTCCTGCAGCCCCGCAAGGGAGCTCAACAGAGCTGATAAAGAAGCACAAGAAGGCCGCCAAGAAGGGGAAGAAAACCTCCTTCCTAAAGAGTGTTATTAGTTTATTCTCAAGGAAGGGAAATGAAGAGAAAGAGGAAAAGGAGGCAAATTCAGAGGAAAGGTTGGATGCCAGCATGCCACCGGAGAGCCCCTCTTTTCCAGTTACTTGTCTGCCCATTTCCCGATCCCGCAGCGGCCAGACCTCTGCTTCGCAACGCAGCAGGAGAAAGAGCACCCTGAAGAAGACATTTTCCTTCCGGAGTCGTGTAGCTGATGAAGGGATTCCCAAAACCCCTAAGAAACCATCTTTCCTCGCTCTCCGTACAACAGTGCACAAACCAGAAGGTCTGTACTGTATGTGCATGACATTTTATGATCTCTTTCTGTGATCTTGGTCATTCTAATGAATTCACTTCTAAGGGGGTAAAAAGTCCTTGAACTTGTCTTAGAGCATAGATTTTTCACTCTGTACATCTAACACAAGTTTCCCATTGTGTTGTTTCTTTTGTCACTGAAACATCAGTGTGCTTTATTTTAAATGTGGTACAGCTAATATCCGCAAAAAGTAGGTTTCTTTTTTCTAGTTAAAAAAGAAGAGAAATTCTGAATGATTCAAAAGTTATTCCATTTTTGTCTCTTTTTTTTCTGAAGGGCTGTATCATCTTTTTTTTTTTACACAAATATCTAATTTGGAGTGCTTGCATATAAAGTCATGAGATGAACTCTTAATTATTGTCCTGATTGTATGTTTGTTTGTTTTTATTTCTAGCTGTTTCATATGCAGGACCCAGACAGTTGTACTATGAAAAGCTGTCTGAAGAAATGGTTCGGATAGTGAAGGAGGTGAAGGACATCCCTGATGAACCAATAACTAGCACTACCAAGAAAAGCAGTAAGGTAGCAGATAAAGGCAAGTACATTACTGTTTTCCTCTGTTTTTATATTGTATAATCCTTGCCTTAGATTTGAAAATCAATCACTTGTTGTAAGTGGAATGAATTTGTAATACTTTTTGTTGAACATCTTCGCTTACAGTAGGAACCCTAGTCCATTAAGACAACAGTCATCTTCCAACTAAAGCTTTCTGTTATATACTGTGTATATATATATGATCTGACTTGGATATAGTCATTTTTTGTATGTACTGACAATCTTTTTAATCTCCTAATAATAAACAATTCCTTTATTTGATTTTGATCCAACAGATATACAGTACAGTTTTAGACTTCTCCAGTTCACTAGACCTTGTGTTACTGTGTACAAAAGTCAGTAAAGTAGAAACAAATGTGGGCATATAAGTATTCAAATCAGTATCATTGTGTTTGCATATAAGCCAAGCTTTGTGTTGATTAAGACCTGCAGACTTAATCTAACATCCTTTCCAGGAAGAGGTTAGAAAATGGAGGAATGGATAAAAAGACTGGAATTGAAAGGCATATCTTTCACAAGTAATTTCTATACGAACTGCAAACAAATTTCATAAATTTAAGTTTGTTAAATTTATACATTTAAATTTTAAATGTATAAGAGTATGTTTTATAGTGTCTGCAAGACCTTTAAAAATACACAACGTTTCGGCTGTGGAGCCTTCTTCGGGTGTGTGAAGAAGGTTCCTCACACCTAAAGAAGGCTCTACAGCTGAAATGTTGTGTTTTCTTTCTTTTCTTTTTAGCATGGAATAAACCTCTTACTTGTTCCTTTGCAGCCTATGCATGCTGACACAGCTTCCTAAGTGAACTACTTTAAAAATACACTTCTAGTCTATTTTATTCCAGGAGAAAGACTGTGTATTCTGAGGGGAGATCAAAAGTAAATATGTCAATAATAAAACAAGAATATAAATAAAATCTAGTAAAAGTGTCATATTTTGTAAATCTAACAAGACCACTGCTGCTAGGAAAAGTAGTGCTTTGCATTCATTTTATTTTCATTTGTACTTCCAGATGAAGAACTCATTAAAAAGATTGTCAGTATTCTTCAGTCGGAAGGAGATCTTATCGATGAGAAGGTGCGTAGTTTTCATTGATTTCAGAAGAGCAAGAGCTAAAAAGTAAAAAAAAAGAAATGTGACAGAGGTAATGGGGTTTACACGTCTCCAGCTGATTTTGATAGACCTGCCAAAGCTGTTCGGCAAGTTTTACAATGTGGTATTTGCAAATGTACAAGAGCTCTTATCTGTAGTGCAGAAACAAAGGAAAATATTGAACATTGTAGTAACTGTTGAGATGAGGTATTTGTTATGTGTGAGTTTGTACCAAAATGACTGGAATACTAAAAGCTCTGGTTAAAAGAACAGGTGACTAGCAATTTGAAAACATTTACAGTTGAGAACAGAATGGTTGAAAGAGAGCAAAGAACACAAACAACTTACCTTCACTCCCACAGTATGTAATACTTTTAATATGGGGATAGCACATAACAAAAATGGAATGCACAGTTCAAGAAGCAGATAAATATAATTTCCAGGGAGAGCCCAAAATCCACACCATTTTGAGGTTTTGTTAAAAAATAAAAAACAGAAATCAGTTTGGACAGGTAAAAAAATATCTAAACATGGAAATCCGACAACACACTATAATTCACAATCTTGAAAGTGAAGAAAACAAGTTTTTGATAAGTATTTTTAAAACAATGAAAATGTAGTCCTTAGTGCTTTTCCAACTCTCCTGAAATAATTCAGAGTGTAAGGACATACAAAACAGCAGGATTTAAAGGTCTTTCATTTTAATGTAGCCAGTAGCAAACAAAAATATAAGTATTGTTATTTAAATTTATATAATTCAATATACAGCATATACTTTAAATGCTACACTAAATACCTCTCCTTCAACCCTGTTCTCTTAAACAATGTAATTATTTGAAATAATATTCCTTTCGGCAGAAACATTTTCGCTCCGGAAGAAACCCTTCCTATATTACTCCAGAACCAAGTATTTAAAGAAACAATTCCCCAGTTCTTTTAAACGGTCAGTATTAGAACAACAGAAAACCAAAGACTCTAAAGATTTCTCAACTCTAAAGTGTTGAGGTGAACAGGAACCAGTGATTAACTGGTAACACTTGAATAAATGAAATGGGCATCTAACACCTGATGTTGAAGACATTGATGCATAAACAGACCTAAACACTACATAGCAAAACAATTTGGGTGTAAAGATGTAACTGCATTTAAACTTCATGCTGTAAAATTTAAATTAAATTATATACACACAAATAAAAACTTAAAAGTATAAAGTTAGGTATGCTTTTTTGCTGATGCTAGTTGTAAATCCTCTCCAAACTGTATGTTGAGATATGATTGCTACCTTTTTTAAGATTTGATAACTTTTGCTTGTGTATTGTAACGGCTCTGCTTTGTGCACTAATACAACAATGTCCCCATTTATATCATTAGAAAACAAATTACTTTTTGTGCAATGCCGGTAACTGTTGTTTTTTGTAGCTCAAGGAGAATGTGACGATGAGCAACTTCTTCCAGAGAATGAACTACAGCTCCTTCCGGGAGCTTGCTGACCAGTATGTGGAGACGGAGACTCCCAGCCGGCGGCCCCAGGGCAATCCCCCGCTGGAGCTGGTGAAATTTGCTTTCGCTTTGGACTTTACTGCAAAGGTAGCTGGGATCTGCAACCACACAGTGAGCTGTGTCATGGGCTTTGGCAACCAGTACCTACAGGACCGCTTCACCCAGTACCAAAACAGTGGGAATGTGGTAAGGAGGGCAGAAGCCAAATTTCTATACATCGGATTTTCTTTTGTACTTGTTAATCATGCACCTTGTGTCCTGTGTGTCTTGTTTTGATTTCCTGCTGCTTAATGCTATGTTAACTTTCAAAATAGGCTCACATTTTTTTCAAAAGCCATTTCTTTTTCCTTTCTCCTCATAAAGCTACTGAAGTTTAAGAATTTAGTTTAACTGTGTTCTCAGAATAGTTTATAGTTACACCTCAGGATATTAGAATTAGCTTTTGTTCCAGATTGAAAAGGTTTAAAAATCTCAGTGTGTGTCTAGGAGCATGATAAAGTTTGATGGCCGTGTCCCTTCATATAAACTTTTATGAAAGGCTTTTGGGGAAGTATATTAGTTCTGCAGAATCTCTAATTATTCTCATCATCCATAGCTTTTGGTGAAGTATATTAGTTATGCAGGATCTCAAAATATTCTTATCATCCTTAGCTTGTTTTTGTTTCCATCTTTTTGCACTTTAGTGAACGATGGTTTAAACATGAAGACAAACAAAACGTCACAGAAAATAGGAGAGGATACAAATAATAAAGAAATAACTAGATTGAGACAAAGTAGATAGTAAAAACTGGGTACAGTATATGACAGGTTTTAGTGTTTCTTGTACAGTTTCCTTTAGCCTGTTTCTTGTTTTTCTCTGCAGCTTTTAAAAAAGTGTATGCATCTGTTTTAGTTCAGCAAAATAGAGAACCGCTGAAAGAGTGAGATACTTTTGCAAATAACTTTATCCAAATTAAATTGTTTCTAAAATATGTACCTGACTGGGACCTATACAACAGACATCAAAATTTTTATTGTAACCTATATGCTAACAGTTATTTTCAAATTGAGTTTAATAATTTCAAGGGTCTTTGGGCTTCTTTATTTAAATCCCTTTTTTAGAGAAACAATATAATGGACAGTGGTTTCCAAATAAAATCTTTTTTGTCATTTGTAAAAAGTTATTAATATTAGAACTCTTGTTTGGTAAGCATGTATGCATACCTTTTATTTTTCATTCATATTTTGTGGGAAGCTGTTTGTATTTATTGTTCTTTTTTTTTGCTCTTCAGGACACTGTCATAGCAGAAAATCTTGCCAGTCCCGACTGAGAGAGAGAACATTCAGTTGTGGACTGAAGTTCAGTTGCATGGAATATATTCTCAACACTCTGACATGACTGTTTAATCAACTACATCTGCACTAGTTTTTTCAACCAAAAAAACCTCATGATCATTCACAATGGCTGGCAAGAAAAAAAATAGACCTTCATGTTAATGAACAACGATTTAAAAAATTATCAGTGATCTGTGCTATGTTTACATAGATACTATGTAAATTAACATTACATTGTTTTTAAAGAAATCACCTGCATTTTTTTTTTTGCTGAATTTTAAAAGGCACAGAAGTAACTTGTAACAGTATTGGATTACTTTTAAAAAGTAATGTTGTCTAGCCATGTGAAGGATGCTCTGGTTTGACGTGTGTGTCATCAGGATCCATTACTACTGTATGTACACTTGCCAAACTGTGGAATGACACTTTTCACTTAATTATTTCCCAGAAAATGATGAAAGCTCTTGTAATGTTGATTATATTGGTGCATGGAGTATACATTAGATATTGAAGTTGTTCACTGAAAAAAATGGACACCCTTGGTATTTAACCTCAATTGTTTTAACCTTTTAGTACTCCCATGTATCACAGACCTCCAGAGGCAATTTTCGCCTAGAGTGAGAGAGAGAGAGAGATCACCTTATTAGCCATATACAATTTCTTGCATTAGGAATTTGTCTTCCCAGCATGCTCTCCATGAGACACACAGACAGGGAGAGAAGCTTGGGGTCAGAGCGCAGGGTCAGCCATTAATACGGCGCCCCTGGAGCAGTTGGGGTTAAGGGCCTTGCTCAGGGGCCCAACGGAGAGTTGTGCATAGAACAGTAATGGTCGGGTTGGACTTCTAACATTGCTTTGACATGTGCCTGTTGGTAAAGGTTAAACCTTGTTTATTTATATTCTGACCATATATCCCATGTACTCCGTATGCTGGAAATCCAATACCAAAAACCAAGGCACAACATACTGTATACATCACTTATGTAAAAGATCTGAGTTTTCTGTACATTTTTTTTCTAAAAGTACCAAATACCAGGAAATGGTCACAGTTATCTTACTGTTTTGTCAAATGATCAACAAAAAAGTTGTTGTCCTTGAGAACATGCAATAGAATCACAGGATCTTTCATGCTTTTGACTTGTGTTAATGTAATTTCATAGGCTTTAAGTAATGACTTCCAAACTGTGCCAGAAGGAAAGAAATGTGAAAATTAAATGTATTTTTGTAGGAACTGTTTTTAAAGTTTACCCTGCACTATGTGAACTGAACCTCTTTAAAATCTATTTTTTTGTACAGGTCTAGCTTGTTGGTGGAATCAATACCTAAACATTAGCTTTTATGGTTTTATTTTTTTAATCTGTTTTTATTTTTCATTTAAGAATAAATGAACTGATCATGTATACATTATGATTTCTAGTTCTTGGACATACAGGTACATGCTTTTTGGATTAAAGTATGTTCAGATATTATGTATAATGTTCTATCATACAAATGACTACCTCCATTGTGTAAAATAAACTATGATTAAGTGATTTTAATTGAACTAGTGTGTTTGTATATCATTTGCTTGGTATAATATAAATGCCAGATACTTCTTAATGTGTTAAAAAGGAAAAAAAATTGGGAAAGCTGAGCCAATATATCTAAACAAATAAAAATAATAACTTTTACACTGTAACTGGCATGTAGCACATGCACCAATATTGGAGCTGCATGACTCCTAAGGTTCAACAAATTTGTTAAGGCATCAAATGCACAGTAAGATTTCAGTTATTCTTTAAAACAAATTATTGGGGGTTTGAAGAATAAAGTTGCATCAGGGTTCCCTACCAAAAGTATGATTTCCATATCATTTACAACACTCTTTTCTTTTAACAATCAATCTACCACTTCTTCAGTCTATCACTCAGACTTGATTTATGTGTGTATTTTTTCACTATCATTTTAAAGTCAGTAATTAAATACAGAGACATTCCAGGAAATACTCCATGAGTGATGCTTTACAGATTCAGATACAGTTGGAAAGATTTGATTTTGCATGACCTCTGCTGCGATGCTTCTCTGAGGTCGTGAGACTTCGGGTACGTTCCCAAAGCTCGCGTGATCACTGGTGAGACGTAAAATAAGTTGTCTGACCTCTGCAATGTCTTCTCAGGGGTCATGTGGGCTGTACTGCATACTAGATTTAGGTGATGTGTGTACTCTAAATTTTTACTAATTCTAAAGTCAATAATAAAATACAAGAAATACTTAAGTGAATCACGCTATACAGAGATTCAGATATAGTTGAAGAGTTTTGATTTTGCATGACCTCTACTGCGATGCATACTAGCGGTAGTGTGAACTCTGCTGCGAAGTGGACTGAAAGTCACAGATCTGATTTTGATTTTGAGAATTAGGAACAGCGTTTTAATTAGATTATCTTCATTTTCTGCTGGGCAGATGTAGACTGAAAATTTTCTGTGGTCTTCCTGGAGCTCAAGAAGCTCGTGCCCATGGCATCCCAGGGCTCACAGAGGTTTAAGATGAGCAGGTCGAGTGTAGAGGAGGCAGCAATCCATTAACCTCAACTCTAGGCTCTTGGGATGGATTCACTTTGTCTTTCTCACAGTGGATGCTTGGGAAACTTGGCACTTCTTCTAGACTGGCTTCAAACTCCAAGGGTAGGTTGACTGATGTGCGCGTCCTAACTTTCACTATCAAGTCAGTAATTAAATACAGAGACATTCCAGGAAATATTTATTTCAGTGAATGACGCTTTATGAGATTCAGATATAGTTGGAAAGATTTGATTTTGCATGACCTCTGCTGCGATGCTTCTCTGAGGTTGTGAGACCTCGACAACATCCCCAAAGCTCCCATGACCTCTGCTGAGACATGTAAAAGAAGTTGTTTGACCTCTGCAACATCCTCCCAGGGGCCACGTGACTCTGCTCTGTCCCCAAGGGTCATGTGGCCTGTGCTGTGCACAAGACTTACCTGATGAGCGTACCCTAATTCTCACTTATCTGATTTTACTGAGAATTGGGAACAGTGTTTTAATTATGTTCGTTTTCTTAATTATGTTCGTGTAGGGCAGATGTAGACTGAATATTTTCTGTGGTCTTCCTGGAGCTCGAGAAGCTGGTGCCCCTGGCATCCCAGGGCTCCCAAAGTTTTAAGATGAGCAGGTCAAGTGTAGAGGGGGCAGCAATCCATTAACCTCAACCCCAGGCTCTTGGGATGGATTCACTTGGTCTTTCTCACAGCAGATGCTTGAGGAACTTGGCACTTCTTCTAGACTGGCTTCAAACTCCAAGGGTAGGTTGTCTTTGCTTTCCTTTAGAGCTCCCTGGCTGGGCTGCCCCTCCAATGCTAACTGCAGATTGAGCAGGAAGGTAAACTCAAGTGAATCGTGGTATACATCAGACTGCTCATCAGTGTTGTCCATGAAGGAGCTACTGGAAGTGGAGAGCCGAAGATGCAGTGCTGATTGCTGATGGAGGTCAGGGGGAATGCGTTTTCTTTCTGGCTTTGTCAGGAGATCCACCCCAGAAGAAAAGTCAGATCCAGCTGTAAATCTGCAAACAACACAATACAGACAAGTATGAATACTATTGGACTGGTATATTGGTAAATGACCATTATTTGGCAAGCTGCAAGACTAAAAGCCAGAGGCATCTAGTGTAATGGGTTTAGATGTAATCTGATTAAAGTACAGACAATAAGAAGTAGTGAAAGAGTGACCCAAGACTAAACATTCTTCCTCGTTCACATTAATAATCGTGCCATTGACTGTAATGACTTGAAACAGGCAGCAAACATCATAAACCTGCATATAACATGCTATACAAAAAGTGTAAATGAAATTTAATGTTCATAATTACAGTGTATTACATGCAAGTTAAGAGAAATGTGCATTACAAGTATCACATAGGTAACTTGATGAAGCAACCTATGTAAATAATTTCTTCTTGTCATCTAGTAAATCTGGATGACCTCTAAACATGCGCAAGAGATGCTTGAATAAATATTTAGTGATTAAAGCAAGGAAGGTAGATTTGAGCACAATCACCTGCAATATTTTAGTTTTGGAAACTAATTTTCATTTTCAGTTTATTTTTCTAAACAACATTGTTTTGTTTCATCTGTCATTTGCTGTGTTTTTGCTTAAAATTAAAATTAAAAATTTAATTAAAAAATTAAAATAATTTAATGCAGTCGGCTGTGCATTGTTCAAGGGAGGCACATTGTACTTATAGAATAACATTTTTTGAAAGCATCATAATATCCATCCTACCAAGTGCTTTAGTTTTGTATTGGTAGACTTTAAGAATAATTCAAGGTCCGAAGGCCACTTATTTATAATGATCCTTTTTCTTCAGAGCTCTCGTTGGTGTTCTAGGTCTTACCTGTCTGCCAAGTTCTTCTGAAGGCTTCGGACTAAAATATTTTTGAGGAAATACGCTATCTGCTTCATATCCTCCCACAGCCAAAATGCTTCCTCTGGAAGATCTTTTAACTTGATTAGCAATCTAGTTAGAGAAAACACAAGGAACATATAGGAATCTCCAGTGACTCACAGATTCTAACAAGGCCTTCGGCAGTACTACTTAAACATGAACAGGAAGACAGATACACTCCATATTGCAGTTAACTTGTCTAATTATTCTGATTCATCTGCTCTCTGCTTGCAAACTGTCCTTTTCTAGGTGTGTTTGTCACTCAAGTCAGAGTACATACTGATTTGCACACAAAGTAGACAAAAGGTGGTTTTCCCATTTATGATTGTTTAGGTGCTGCTGTCCATTTGGATGATTCGTATTGTGCAAGGATGTAAAAATAACTAGATTCCTTACCTGTGACTAAAGAAGAAGAACATGACAGCAGGAAGTGTGTAGGGAAGAAGTAGATAGGAGATCAAGCGCGCAGAGACAGAGCTGTTCTGAAAGCCCCTCAGGTTGCACAACAACGCTAGAACATACACATTCAGAACCAGTGTTACCATGTAAAGCCCCTGTTACTGATCATTAATCAAACACACTGACAAAAATAAGAAAATTAAAAAGCAGAATTTCAGCTGCAGTGGATGACTATAATTAAAAATAGAATTTCCGATCCAAAATGGAGCAGCCATGATCTCAGTACCTCCTTGGGCCTTCTGTTTCCAGTTCAGGCTTCTTGTCTTACAAGGAGGGGTATCTTTCTGATAATGCATGGATAAATCTGTTTACACAGTTAGTGAAAATGATGGGGTATTTGGATAACTTTACTAATCTCACCAAATAACACAACACATGCAAATACAGTATATAACAATAGCCAAATGATCCAGAAGTGCTTTATACATGGATACAGGATCCTACCACTGAAGAGCAGCACCCACTCAGGTAATACGCTGCAGGATTTACTTGTATGTGCCAGCAGCCCTAACGCATGACAGAAACTCCTACAGTATGTCAAATAATTACAGGGGAATATAAGGAAGACCACGTTCTGCAAGCCCAAAACAAAATTTAACCAAGACGCCATCCATGGTCAATTTCGATGGACATCTTGTCAGGATGCAGTTGGAACAGTGGTGCAGTGGTAAGCAATGCTGTCTTGCAATGCTGTCAATTCTGGACCTGGGGTGCCATCTGTGTAGAGTTTGTATATTCTCCCTGACTCGACTCTAAACCGCATTGGTTAACACTGCTGCCTAACAGCACTGGGGCCCTGGGTATTCATTCCTGGGGTGCTATCTGTGTGGGATTTGTATTTTCTCCTCGTGATCATGTAGGTATATGCATTGCTTGCTGGGTTAGGTTCTGGATCCCACCTCCTGCAACCCTTCACTAGATAAAGTGATTGCAGAATGGATGGATGTTTCATGGCTAAGAGCAGGAATAGCACCACCTACCAGACCAGAAACACCACGTACAGAGACAAATTGATTTTCTCCCACCCCAGTACCTACCTGACCCAACTTTGCTTACCCTCCAAGACCTCATAAAATCAGGCTACAAGATAGGAACATTAAAACAAGTCTCAATAAATACATATTAATTAGATCCAAAAAATAAAGCACACCTCCTTGCAGCCATGCAGGCAGGCTGCAGTACACCGCTTGTTCCATTGAGCTCAGATTCCAGCTCCAGTCCTCCAGGGCATCCCGGTATTCTTGTGTATCAGAGCTTCCTTCCAGGCATGGTGGCGTACCCGCTTCTTCCTGCTCTGTCTCCTCCAGACCTCCCAGGTGATCCCTCACACTACCAGAGCACAGGCCGTCCAGAGACAGGGAGCCACTCGCCTGAGGCAGCCGATTTCCCATCAGATCTATGAATATGTACAAAATGAGGTGACATTTTTTTTGTATGGAAGTATGGAAGTGAAGGCTTTAAAGTCTCAAGGTACATAAAAATGAAGAAATTTGATTAAAAAATGTAATTTTTGTATGTATTAAACCTTACATTTGTCATTTAGTCCTTATACTGTGGTACGTGGTACTTTGGGGGTAATGATAATAGTAACAGTCATACAGTACAATAACATGTGACAGTCAACATCGCACATATAAAAGCTTTAGCCCTTATTTCTTTATAAGAATGAAAAATGTTTCACAGTGTAAAATTTACTTCTGATGTTGCCAACAGAAAACAAGATTTTTGAAAAGTGCAAAAGATAAATCTGGATAACAAGTATGAAAATTTATGCTGCAGATGTTTTTCTGTAAATTTAAGCCAAGAACATGATGCATTAAAGTTTTCCTAGGAATGTACGGTGAAAAAGTCTTGCAAAAGGGTGATAGTGAAGCAAGAAAGCAATTGGCAACAGCATTTACAGTATGCATCCAAAACAAATCAAAGCAGATTTCTCTTCTTGTCAAATACAATTAATTATTTCATAGTAAACGAATGAAGTCTACAGTAACTTGCCTGCATCTCTGAAGTGTCCTTGCCACTGGAATAAGCTCAAAGAAAGGAGTAGGTAACCTTGTGTCGACCTACAGTTTAAACCAGAGGTCACATGACTCTAAAGGGGCGTGCTCATGCATATTTTGGCATATGCCAGCAGCGACTTTGTTTTTAGAAGAGGTGTGAATGCATGTGACAGTCAGAATCATGGGCTATGTTCCCAGGTTCAGTCATTTTTAATTGGAAAGGTTCCCATCTCTGGTCAACTGTCACTTTAGGTAGGGCAGATTCTATCACATTTTTAATTCTAAATAATACTAGCAAATAGTATGTTTTTTCTGTATTATCCTTACAAAACAGCTACTGTATATTGTAGGAGCTACTGGTATATCATAGTTAAACATTTATATTCTAGTTTTATTGTACACTCAGTGTAGGATACACCAAATATAATCCTTGTATATAATTATTTTTTTCTATTGTTAACCTGTTGTTCAAAAATGATTTTTTCTTACTTCTAAACATTTGTACACATTGCAGAACACCAGTACACAAAGGAAATGTATTTTAAAATTAAAACAGCTCAAAATGTCTGTTTTCACCAAACACAGTACTGACAACTCTGATCTGTAAAGTCCTTAGTGACCATCAATCATTTAAACTTGCTTATCATTAAATATAGGACAAACCCTCATCAAAAATACTATTCAAACAAATTCTACATTGATGGCAACAATAAGAAATTTTAAATGTATCATGTTTATATATCTGAATATGTTAATCTGTGTTGGTTTGTGATAAATGTATTGAAAATATGGAAAGATTTTCAATTATTGGTGAATACACAATTGAAACAGTAATACAGAATAAGCACAATTATGATCCTACAATTAGATTATGATCCCTGTGTTTGTAAAAAAAAAGTTGAATATTTTCAAATTATATTAACTTCAGATAATAATATTTGAATAGTTTCTGATATTGCTGAAATATGTAATGTACAAAAAAAAGATCAAACGTAACTCAATTTGTCCTAGGTCTATAATGATTTTAATACTATCGATTTTGCAGTATATAGCAAACTGGCAGACACCAGTGCCATGTCATGTCATTTGCCAAACTGCTTTATACCATACAGTGTTGAAGCCGGAGCCTACCTGGCAAGCAACGAGCGCAAGGCAGGATACACCCTGGACAGAGCGCTAGTCCACTGCAGGGCAAGTTCCAGCCAATCATACATGGGGACAATTTGTAGGCCAAGGGGAGAAATTTGGCCCAAACACCTGGATAACTTCCTACTCTTTTCTAGAAATGCTGGGATCTTTAATGACCATTAAGAGTCAGGACCTCAGTTTAACGTTTCATCCAAAAGACGGTACCCTCTACAGTACACAGTACAGCCACTATACTGGGGTTTTAGGACCCACAAAGACCGCAGGGTGGGTGCCCCCCACTGGCTCCACTTACACTACTTCCAGCAGCAACCATAACTTCCCAGGAGTTCTCACATCCAGGTTCTGACCAGGCTCAACCCTGCTTAGCTTTAGTGGGTAGCCAGTTGAGAGCTGCAGGGTGATATAGCTGCTGGCACAGATACTAGTGTTCTCAGATATTTCTGCCTGAGCCCTGCTTGTGTGAACTTTTACCAATACATTCTAGAACAATAAGTTCTCTAAGGATTCTAGAACAAATGGATCTTTCTTCTCTCTCCTTTGCTTCACACAACTGTCAAAGACTGCTTAAAAGGGTTCTAATGATTTGAAAAGTGAATTGCTGTACGGCGGATGTATGAATTGAGGCATATACAGTAATTGCCCTTTTCTCAATTTTCATATGGTAGTTATAGAGTGCTGGTCTAAAGAACCCCCGCAATTAAATCTTAGGATAAGGATAGATCATTTGGATCTAACATGTTGTTTACCATTTGCTTGCAGAAAGAATTCAGCATCCTGGTATCCATGGTAATATGCCCTTTTTAGTGCCTAAAAATGAGAAGAAAAAAATATATACCAGTACATATAGTACAGTATATACGTATGGGTACACACATTGAAAAAAGGGTATGGCATTGAAAACCAGATTCACTGATTTATTATGTGCAAGTAATAAGTAATGTTTTTGTTAATTAAACAGATTGTTTATTTAAGTTCATTCTTCCCAGTTATGCACAGTTTGGCTACAATAGTCATATATTTGCAACAGTGTGGACAACACATCACAGATACTGTATCTTTTGTATGTTATAGAGTTAAAATGCATAAATGTCATTCATACTATTTCATAGATATACTGTATACAGAAAACCTAGATGGGCTTATTTGTAGCCTATTGTTACATTTTAATGCTTCTCATTATCTATCTCTCTAAGGTCTGTTATTCACAAAGCAATTCAGACTACTTATATTCTGAGGAGCCAAGCAGCATATACAGTAAATCAGTCTCACTTCACAGCAGCAAGAAGCACACAAATCCATTCAAATCTGATAGATACATGTAACCTCTCCTTCACGTAAAACATCATTGTTGGGCTTTGCTCTCTATCTTAGGTAACAGAACTCACTAAAAGCTATATCTTACCACTTATGCATTATTAACTGTGCACTTCAGCACAATGTTACTAAATGCCTCCACTTACGTAAAGCAATTTCTGACAATGCAGTAAAGGCAGTTAAGTCAAATGCATTCCTTCATGTGAGATTAGGACCACAAATAGACAAATGTTCATGAATGTGGGAAGGGTCAGTGTTTTGTTGTTGCTAGCAAGGGTCTGAAGCCCTGTTTTATACATTGAGGCTATAAGAAATAAAGGGCTGGTCCGCCGCAGTGAACCAACTGTGTGTTTTCCATCCTGAGTACAGATTAATTGCGAGGCAGTTTGCTAAAATGGCTAGAGTGAATATGCTTAAAATAATAACCCCAATACTTAACCCAGCAACAAACATCTGTTTGGGATTATAAAACTCACCGTCTAACGTTTCTGTAGTAAAAGACATCTGTAGCAAAAGGTAAAAGGCTGGTCATCTGTCATTAAGTCTGATTGCACATATTACTGATAGCTAATATTAAATGGCTGCTTATAGAATGAACAGCTTAGGCAAATTTCTATCGCTTTACTTAAAAGCAACTCTGAGATTAAAACAGGTTAAAAAACTGTAATGTTAATATCTACTATATGTACACAATTAATGAATTTGCATAATTATCTGTCTAAATAAACATGTTTCATATTTAAAAAAGAGACAACATATGGGGAAGCAGTGTAACGGTGCAGAAATATTTATGGAGAGTAGGTTTGTCACTGAGAAAACTGAAACGTATTTTTATATGTTTTGCCTTTCCAGTATTTCCTGTATCTTATAAATGTATTTTTACAGTTCCAAGTGTAAATTACAAATCAGAGGAAATCATTTTGCAAACTTGGATGTTTGGCTGCTGTTAGCTTAAACAAGAATCCCATCAATTAATTTCCTGAAGGAACCCAAAATGTCAGCTTCAATAGCATGGGAAAGGGATTCGTTGCAGACTTCCTTGACTCTCTGTATAACAGATAGTCTATTTTTACTGTCCTGAATGATTTCAAATTTCCCTTTGTTTCTGCATCCTTGATCTGCGCTCAGTCAGCCAGTTTCTTTTAAGATGGTGAATGAATGGACAATCTACTGTAGCCAATTGCATCTGAAGCAGTGACCTTATAACCCTATCAACAAAGTCTCTTAAACAATGTTAAAATGGACCTAATTAAATTTCTGACCAAAGGAACAATGGTTTCAATGTAAAAAGCTTTCCACATCTGTTTGAAAATGGACTCAGGGTGGCTACCTTTTTATCACTTTCATCTGCTCACAAAACACTTATCACCCAAAACACTCCTCATTTTTGTACTTCCAAGCAAATTCTGAAGCATGATTGAGGTGATATCATGACCTGTCTCACTCACGGCAGTCCCTGACGGCTTGGCAAAGCATCTCAGATGATCACACATAGAGTTTGGTGAGCTCAGGGAGACATAGACATCCTTAACAATTATGCAACCAAATACCATTACTGAAATGCACTTAAAGGAAATGTAGCCCAGTATTCATGGTCTCTTCAAATCACTCAGTTGATAAAGTATGTTTTGCTTTAATATGAACAAATACTGTATATGCATGTAAAAATCCAAAAGTAAAATATATTTTGTATTGTACTTTCATTCAGATTAGTGAAATGATTCAAATCTCATGATCATGTAAAACAAAAACAACAGTTTTGACTTTGCTGTTTCATACATTTGGAGGTTACAGACATGCATTATCAGTTTTCGTGAGAGGATCTTACCACGCTGGTAGGGGGGAAGAGCGCATCCATCATTCGGAAAAAGTTTTGCAGTGTGAACTGGAAGTTAAAACTGTTCACGTGCACATGGTAGAAGCTGGGGGGCTGGTCGCAGGGGCAGATGTCCACCTCACCAGCAAAAGGAGACACTGTTAGGGTGAGGCTGGAGTCCTGGATGGGTTGGATGTTAGTGAAGCCTCCATCAATGTAATGCTATGCCCAAAATCACAAATAAAAAAGTTTGAATGTCAGCTTCACCTAAAAACAATTGTCTGATATTCTAGAGAATACTATTGAAAATATTTATAGACTAGTAGAACAACAGTAGTTTAGTCCATTCATTCTTTAGTTTAACAGTAAAGTATGTCTAAATGTAAACAGGCTAATGTTACACCGTTTATGATAGACATAATGTATATTTCACAATGTTTGTAATAAATGTTCACTGTATTCTATTATCAATTTATTCTACTAAAATTGAAGCCAAAGACTGTTATTATTACAAAACCTACAATAAGAAAAAATATCTGGGATTTGGGAAATCATACATCCCCTAATGTTGTCAGCCTTGAGCCTTGACTATGTGTTGACTGTTTGAGATGGCCTGTAGTATTCAGTTGACTGTTTGAGATGGCCTGTAGATTTCAGAGGTGCAGTCCTATGGACTTGAGCCTGAATCCAGGTTAGGCTCTCTCAGAAGTCAGAACTGTCTCTGCAATAGGAAGTTTAAAACTGAAATTTTCCTTCTCAGGTCATAATGTTAAATCTAATTTTGAAATATATTTTAATAACAGCAAAGATTTTGTTTTAGATTTTACTGTCACCACCCCAAGCCTGTATACTGTATTTAGCTATATAAATTATTCACCAAGCAGTCTGAACAAGTGAAATCACAAACTACTACTTCAATGCAAATTTTAGTTGCAGCTATAGTAGATCAATTGGAATTTCAGGAATCCTGTCAGTAAAGGCGAATAGCTATTCAATTCATGCAACACATGGGTAAGAACATGATGTGCATAAGAAGGTCAATAGAAACCGTTCAATGGTCAAGGCCATCTGCCCAGACCTGATGGATTACATCTACAGTAAACTGGAGTGATGGAGTCGAGGATGGACAAAGCACAGGAAGACGAGGAATTCTGAATCTCACCTCTCCGCGGAAACTCGGGGGCTTCAGCCCACAGTAGAAAGGAACAAAGCAGCTGCATAACAGTGCCTGCAAGTGAAGACGTAACACTTAAGGGAGAAATATTTTCTTACAGTGCTTACTAGTCGGGAGTACTTTCTAGTAGGAGAAAAATATTATTAAATATTAAGTCCTCTCTCAAACCTATCATTTTGTACTATAATTTCACTCTGCGATATTCATAAGAATAAAATGCATGAAGGACATAAGACAGCTACTGCACTAGCAATGTCATTTGTGTAATTATAGTTACTGATTTGAAGTTGATTAGCAAGTCAATGAAACCTTCAAAATCCTTGTCAGAGACGGCAAAGACATGGCTCTGATATGAATTATAAGCCTTTTCTTCGATCATGGGTCTTTGCTGGTACCTGAGTGGTGACGCAAAGGTGGGATGTTCACAATTTCCATATAGTATGGAAACATTCAAGTTGGAAATTCTGCAATGTGAAGGTGTTTTCAGGCACAGAAACCTAGATGAGTGAAGGGTTTTAAAATCTATATGGGTCAAGTATAACAAACCTTCAAAGAGTTAGGAGTAAGCTACAGTCCACATCATTCTAATACCAACTCCAGAACTGAGAGATACAGAACTCCAGATTTTAACTAATGTCATGGAATAATAACAGCTGAAACTAAATGGTAGACAAGGCAGAACACTTTCTAGAAGGAATGTCTGCATTAGTGTTTTAATACAATCAAGACCAAGTGAGGATAACAGGGGTGACAGCACCATTAGTCAATAGTTATTATTAAAAAATACCATATGGTATATCCACGCTTTATTGTAACTATTTCCTGACATACCTTCGGGATTAAGAAAGAGAAATGTAATTGGACATTTAACTTCTAACCATTTTGTTTTGAGCATTCCAATAATGATATATTCTCTATTTGAAAAATTGCATGAAATGCAATTTAATAGCATTAAGCATTAACTCTTATTACTCAAAACACAGTCCTTCTTCTCTTTTGATTGGAAAAACAGTCCTTCTACATTTGATTGTAAATCATACAGCTCCTCTCACTGAGCTGTTCTTTTGAACTCACACAGCAATGTGGCCCACCTGTGACTGTTAACTGGGATTTTCATGTGTGAGATTTTCTCTCTCTGAAGTCAATCATAATAGCAAGGAAGACCTTAGCTCTACTAAAGGAGTTGGAGGTTTTATGTGGATTTAGGAGGGGCTTTCAATTCAGATGACGATAAGAGAGAAAGGCAAAAACATGTTCAAATTCTGTCTGGATCCCAAAAACAAACAAATGAAAATCTCATAAAATGATCAAAAGCCTGAGAAGGATTCTTAAGTGTAGTAAAATAGAGAAACAATGTTAGAGTTTTAAGATAAATACACTAGAAGCTGGTCAGCATGACAAAGTGATTCCAGGTGCCAGGCATGTCCTGTACTGGTGTCTTACTCATTTCCTAATGACCTAAACCATGTCATTATACCTGCAATCAAACTCATTTAACTGCTTCTTCCAGCTCTTTAGGCTCTGATTGTAAAGAGCACACATCGTACCAGCCCTCCAAGACCAGGACTGGACTGCCCTGTTTAAAGCACTGTGGTTTGTACAAACACATCATACAGACATTCACTGGTGAAAGGAGGCTGCCAGTTGCACTCGGCATAGAACTGTTAAATGTGCCACAGATGTCTGAGATGTTGACTTCCCTAATGCTGTTACTCCTACAGGTAAACAAATATATATTTGAAACATTTCAGCATTTATTTAAAGAAAGGGAAGAAAATGAGGCTCAATTAACAAAGCAGACATCAATCTATATTGATCCTAGGCATCTCTCTTAAAAGGCTGTATATTAAATAATGAACTGTCCTCTTTTCTAATACCACTGAAACCAGTGGACAGTGTTCACCTGAACAAGCTCTTCTTTTGACATGAAGTCTGACATCAGGATGTTCTCTCCATCCATCAGGCGGGTCATGGAGATGTAGAGGCGCCCAGTGGCCAGTTCGTGGGCATTGTCTGGCAGACTCCGGTGCAGGCAGCACTCCAGCAGCTTGAAGACATTGAAGGAAGGGTGCAGGGGACCCAGCAGGTGCTTCCTGCTCGCCCGGGCTGTAGCAAGCATTTCATCACGCATGCACTCTGTACCAGAGAAGACGTGGTCACAGACTGAAAGCAGAACCACTGGAGCACAGAGTGGAGTGCAGATATTATGGAGAATATTAACATCTCTCTGTACTAAATCACACAATAAATTGCTTTTATGTCAGCTTCATCAAAAAAATATTAACAAATACAATACTGATAATTTGCAGAAACGTTTTTAAAATAAATTGTTATTGTAATATAATATTTAACTTCAATTAGAACTGAAACAGAGAAAACCCTATGATGGTGTTTTTTGCATTTACAGAAATTAAAATGACTTCCAAAAGCACTGGGACAGTGAAATACAAAGTGGAATTTGCACTATTAACTGACAGAGAATAGAATTCCTAGACATTTTATTTTAATGTCTAAAATAAAGTCAATTCAATTCCACCTAATTAAACTGCGAGTTGATCTTTTTTTTTTTTTTGAAGGAGCAAATGCTTTAAGACAGCTGAATAACAGGTGTCTCCTGTTGGTCAGGTGTCTGTTGTTAAGTAATTGGGTACTTATGAAATCCTATCAACCTATCTTGCTTTGCCTTCAGTTTTTGAAGTTTATAGTTGAAAGCCAAAATGAAAACCAAAGCTATTTCTGTTTTAAAAAAGGCAGGCAATTTTGAAACTAAGAGAACAGAACAACTCACTGAGGACCACAACACAGAAACTGAGCACATGGAAATAATCGGCATTGGAATATATTGAAGTAAAAAGAAACGACAGGTATAATTACTAATCAAACAGGAAAATCCTCCTCAGCTGACGACAGAAAAATGATCAAGATTGTCAAAGTAAACATTAAAACAAACAAATTTCCCCAATGGAATAATAAAGCTTGAATTGAATTTAAAACAACAGTCGGTGAAATCGTCAAAAACCTCACAGGAGTGAAGGTATCAAAGCCGCAGTTCCTAGAAGACTAAAATTCTACAATTACAAGTTCTACACCACAGCATAGGAACCTCTCACCAGCAACAAGAAAGAAAAAAACAGACTGGAATTTACTGATAAAAATACAAACATGAGCCAAGAAACAAGGTTTATGGCTGGTTGAGACCAAGATAAACCTTTACCAAAGTGATGGAAAGGCAGAAATGTGGGGAAATAAAGAAATTGCAGATGCTCCAAAGAAGAGATGAAAGCTGTCTGTTTTTACTTACCCATATTTGCTCCGCAGACAACGGCTGCTGCAGCTAGCGACCCCGCGGACGCGCCGAACACCTTGGGCGCTGCGTGTATAACCCCAGGGGCCAGGTCAAACAGACACTGGGCAGCACCAAGCTGGTAAACCGCCAGGAACCCAGAGCCTGAGAAAGAGATGGAGAAGGGCGGAATCCCAGATTGTACACTGCCATTCCCAGACATCGGTGGTGACATTTTCAAACTCTCTTGACTGCTCAGGATTAAAAAAGCGTCCTCCTGTTTACGGTTGGTTAATTACTGGAAGTTTTATTCTTTTCTACACCATTAGGCCGCCATTAAAAAGAATACCTAACCTGGCCGTTTATTAACTCTCCGTTTAAAGAAAAAAAGTCTTTAGTAATGAGATTGTCAGCATGTTTGTTTTGCATTATTTTCTTTTATAAATGAAAGTACAATTAGTTGAATGACTGGTGTTGCGTTTAACACATTTCCTATAATACATCAATAGAAATATATTTTTAAAAAATCACTATGGTGCTGCATATAAAAAGAAATATCCCCTTATATCTGAAGCTTCTATCTGAAACATTAAAAGGCTGTTCTTTCATGTGCATGCTACGAAGTCACCAGAATAACTATCTGATATGCCGGTCAAGATCTCCTTTTAAACTGGCTGCCTTTACGGTCATTAACATTGTGATTAAGGGGAAAAAATGACAGCAGTCTTCCTGTGATATTGTATAATGCTATACACACGCTAAACCCAATTAGCCACACTGCCGATCTAGTGGCAGCTTGTACTATTTTATGTTGTTGTTTTACCTACGCTAGTAACAAACTGCAATGACTCAAGAGAAAAACCTGGCAACGCTACTAATATTCCCTAGTACAGATACTTATTATACAAATGGCGAAATGGGTTTTAATGTTCTAATGTTTTTTTTAATATTTCACGAAAAAAAACAATAATTCAATCTTTTTTTCTCTTCCTCATTATTCCTCCTACGCATTTTGATCGACTGAGATTCGTCAGGCTGTATACGAAAACTCGAATTTGGAAGAAAAAGGAGAATTTAGAATTGGCTTTGCTTACTTCTCCCATTTGAACTGAAATGACCTCCTGAATTTAAATCAATGTTACTTTTAGTCTCTTTAACTTAGCTCGGAGTCTCTCCTGACACAATAAGAGCTCAGACCAGCATGCTAGGGCTAAGGTACTGTATACGCTTGTAAAAAATATGAATAGTATTATGAAACCATATTTTTAAAAGCCTATTGCATGTATTCCATCAGAAGTCTAAATTTTAATGTATTGTCTTTCAACTCCTATAAGATGTCTTCATTTGAGTAAAAACAGACGTATCCGTAAAATAATAACTCCCTTTGTACAAATTTTAAAGAGTTAACAGAACACCCTTAAAAAGGTTTGTGATGTACAGTATATTTCATTAGCCCCGTTGAGTTTTCCAGAATAAGTTTTTTTTGTGTGTGCTAAATCTAAGAGTCTGTAAAATCAATTTGGTAGGAGGAGATACACTTTGTAGCAGGACCAATCAATTCAATTTTATTTCCTTTAATTCATAACTGATGAACAAACAGCATCTGTCTTCAAAGTCTCCTCCAGAGTAACGGATTGGATAGGGAAAGTAGGGTAAACCTTTAAAAAAAAAAAACATTAATGTGTCACATGTGTCACATGTCTGCATCTGGAACTGTGGAATAATTTCCGAAGAACTGCATTTAAAAGTAAGCAGTCATAATACAGTTTCTCAAGAAGTATTGCACTACATGACAAAAAACTTTTTTTTCCTATTTTGTTGCTGTTTTGTATTTACTGTATTCTGTAGCAATCCAAAACAAATACAGTTTTAAAGCTTTAGAACTGCATTACTTGCAATGTTGTTTGGGACTGGGCATTAAAACAAGATCACTACTAGCAAAATAACCAATAACCAAATAAAACACACCAAAATCACAGCTTTATAAATCTTGACTATGGCAAAGCTTGGCAAGGCCATTTCTTAAATGTAACAATCGTTTGAAATGACCCATTTCATTGGTATGTTTTAAAGCTTAAAGTTTCACTAACAGAAAAATCTTAACATTTGATAGGGCTTTAATATACCAATTTTCATTCAAACACTAGTACAGGTATTCATCAGTTAGCAATGTTTTAACCAACACAAATTTTATTAAACTTGATTTTTGAATTTCGGCTCCCACATCATCCTAAAGTGGTAGAAGCAATCAGAAAATGGATGGATGATTTTTGGAAAAACTCCTAATCCCAGTATACATGCTCAGTTGAACAATTTTTGAACAATCGCATTATGCTCTGGAGCAACCTGTAACAATGTAAGAAGTGGTAAGGGCCAGAAAATGAAACGTACTGGTATTGGTGATCATAACAACATGATCAATTATTCAGCTGTGTTTTTTAAATCTTATTCCTGGATTGCCGGTCTCTTCTGCTTTTTGCTCCATCCACGTTTTTAATCACAGTATAAGTTATTTCAGTTTTCTACTGCAAGCTTATTGTGCAGTTTGCTTTCAGCTCTCAAAATCTTGAATGCAATGCGGAAGTACTTTGAATCCTGTGTTAGCGAGTTTTGTGACTGTTATCATTGAAGTGTGCTGGGTGAAATATAGCTAATTGGATTTAGGCACAGATTCACTGTGAGAGCTGCCTGTATTAGTATCATTCCCACTTGTGTCCTTTCATAGAACTATTAAGGGCTGTTTAGTCAGAAATAGAGGACCAGGTAGAGGAAATAAATATATATGTGCTGAAATAACGTTCTTTGAGGAAGTTCTAAAACCAAGGACTAAGAACAGGAAAAATAAAGTCTAAACTAGCTAGCAGATACCGGCATTAATTAGCACCAGTGATTAATGGCCCAGTTGGAACAAAAACCTGCAGACACAGGGGTCCCCAGAGCCAGAATTAATAACCACTGATTTAGAGCACAATGTAATTGTGAGCAAGCCCTTTTAGAACAATGACCAAACAATACTGTCAATGCTACCATCTTAAATTAAGCAGAATCATTGGTAACACAACTGATACCATGTGCCCCCTCTCTCAGCTGACATGCCCAAATTTCAACTTATTTTTGTCATTATTTTTCTCCATAAATGACATTAAAACAAAGTATACATAAACAAAACATGAAAGCATGAAGTAAAATGGAGTCATAATAATAGCAGTAAAATTTAAGATTCTTTTGAGTTGGGGCTAGAATACATGCTCCCTATTTTACATTGCTTTTTATAGGAAATGTCCAACGACTTCACTCTACAGAGACTTATGTAGAATGCACCGATGGTGTTAGTCAGGAAATCCCTGTAGTAAGAAAATAGAGATGCACACAATAAGATTGAAGTTTAAGGCTATTTTTGAAAATGGGCAAATGTTTATTACACTAGAACAAAACCACACACCAATCAATTCAGGAACTCTGGTTAGGCTGATTAACCAGACAATTTATCCTACGGCAATTTGGTGTAATTAATTGCAGAAAAAGGTAATTAGACAAATACATTATAATCTCTTATCAATAAGAATCTCCTCACTTTAATATCCTATTCAGCATAATCTAACCAGAAGAAATAGTTGAATCTGGAAATTTACAGCTGTCCAATTTAGATTTCTACTCTTGTTCCATTTTAGATTGTTATAACCTGCAGCAACTCATTTTGACAATTAACCAGACTAAATGCATAGTCAAATGTATCCCACAAAAATCAAAGTGCAAAAAACGACATTGCACTGCAACACACATTAAGTCAAGCTGTTCAATACACTTAATGGTGGATCAGATACTTTAATCTTGCCTTGTACACTTTTCGTATTTTGGCTTTTCCAAGACCCTTAGATTATGTCACTTGCAGCTATTCCATGTTTTTATTTTTAAAGCTGGTTTAAAATCACTGCATCCCACATTATTTTAAGGAGAAGAGTTAAGAGTATGTCTATTGTTGCTAAGTGAAAATCAAATGCTTCCAACAGCCAATTTTCCTTTAATGCACACATACATGTGGTCACACCTATTCCACCGTAATTGCTTAAAGGAACAAGGGTTTGATGCAAGTGTTATTGATTAAACTCAGAAATGAACATTAATAGAATACTATTAACAGCTATAGGCAGTCTACAGAAAAAAATGCAAACAGGTACAAGGCATCAAATTACAACTGAATGGGGATTTCATTAAATTTAGCTTTCACTGATTCAGTAATATCTCTCCACTAGTTACAGCTTTTTTCAAACTACCCAGGTCTTTAGTAGCTGACAAACTAAAAGGATGCACTTGGACTTTGAGTCTATTAGTTTTTGTTTTTTTAGAAGGTTGTAAACTGCAACAAATACTGGCTGTCATGTTTTTCTTTCAAATCTAGGTTTAATATGGTCTCTTAATGTACCAACACATTAAATTCTTGCCTTAATTTAGTTAAGAGGATGTGAAAACACTGGAGCAAAAACATTCTGAGAAGAACTTCTTACCAAACAGAAGCTTTTTATAACTTAAAAAGACAGATGTCCAAACACACCTGGAAACCCACAAACAGCTAGGTATGCCTGGTTTAAATGAGAAAAGGGTAAATAAGATGTTTAAATGTATGAAAAAAAACTAGTAAGAAAAGGGCATTTCTTGATTTTTACTGTTTTTATTGCTTTTTCAATCCTCCAAAATACAAAGATGTCTAATCAAAGAGGCCAAATCCCATGTCTTCATCAGATTCCTCTGATTCCTCTTTCTTCTCTTCCTTTTTCTCCTCAGCTGCAGGATAGAACAATATTTTGTTAGGATTTCTAAAACAGTAAGGAAATGTAATACATTAACTCCCAGCACCTCCCCCACTTTGAGGATAGATGTGTAACAACATAAAATTGTTAAATCACAGTAATTAAGATGCTCTATTTCAAATTATCTTTTCTTATAAGAGATGTACTACAAAATTCTGAAAAAAAAAACCTTCAAACACTTTAACAAGCAGGGTCCCACTCGGAGGTGAGCAAAAAGTATACAAGGAAGGAAAAACCACAAAGGTAGAACCTGTTCCTGACTGAACTCAATATGCTTATAGAAGAATAAAATCCACAGAACAGAAATGTTATGTACTAGCCTTCTCTCGAATGGCCAAAACTTAACTTGCTACTGCGCACTGTTATATGAGACATCTTATTTCTGTACAATATAGACCACTTCATCAAGACAATAAGAGAAATGTTTTCCTGCCCTCTTTTCATGCCATCACATCAATAGCTGAAAAAATTCTTCTTACCAACAGGAGCAGCTCCAGGTGCTCCACCTGCAGCGGCAGCAGCAGGAGCAGCAGCAACAGCACCACCTGCTGGCACGGAGGCTAACTTCGACAGGCCTGCGCAAAGAGCAATGCCAATCAAAACCAGAAATTACAACTGGCTGTGACAATCCAACTGAGACAAATCATACAAACACCCAAGTTCATTTTTGCTTTCTTTTCATACTGGTTAACTTTTTTAAAGTCTGAAATTAAACATGTGCATCCAAAGTATTCGATTATGAATTCACCTGAATTTTACCAATAATCTGTTTTACTCATACAAACGCAGTAATATTATTTTACAAACATCTCAAGAGGACAAGAACATCTGCCTCCAACCAAACTGAACTAGAGCACAAAGCTGTACAGCAAATTGTGAAGATCTGATAAAAGAAAATCCCACAATCACCTGCATTCATGACTTCATTGACATCTTTTCCATTAAGTTCACTGATGACCTGGAATGAAAGATAAAATGGTTATTCAGTGCAACCCAAGTCACAGGAAATCTCCACTTTCCACACTTCCCTTCAGTTTTAAGAATATGCTGAACAATACTTTAATACACTTTTTAGATAATCTGATTCTCATTATTAATACTTTAATACACTTTTTAGATAATCTGATTCTCATTATTAATTATATCTTTTTTTAATCATAGGTTCCACCATATGTTGCTCATCAATCTTGACTTATTTTAAGCTTTCTTTAAAGTACCCTGAAATATCTTATTGCAAGTCACAAAATATTTTTTTGCTTTGCTCGAGTGTAAATGTACCATCTCCCTTTTAATGTTTAAATCCCAAATGTCCAATTTTGGCCGAAACGTCATATTTCTGTTGCTTTTTTAACTTCACGAAAACCACCTGTTTTAAATCTAGCTCCACTTAGAGGCCAGTCGCCATTTGCACTGTAAAAAGTTAACATACTGGCCCCATATGATTAACTGCAAAGTGCTCCAGAACTCATGGAAAAAAAGATTTACGCACCTTACTGAGACGCTCATCATCAGCCTCAATCCCTACGCTCTGAAGGATGTTCTTAATATCTTTAGAGGTGGGGTTGTTGTTGCCACCAAGGACAGCCAGGAGATAAGCGGCCACGTAACGCATTCTAGACCCAGAAAAACAGCATTAATGTCCAATGTTATGAAACCTAGATTCATTACACAGTCTTTGGAAAAAAGCAGCAACACTAATTTCAAAGTTACTAAAAGAGATACTGATGCTCTATATTGTATTTTACTCCAAATTACTTCAGTTAAAATTACCGCCAATTACATTTTGTTTACATTGGATAGCTGAGATGTGGTCAGCAAAAGAAAACTTAATCTCAAATGGCAAATGTACGACTCGTATTTATCGTTTGTAAAGCAATAGTTTTCTGACAGCAAACACAAAACGTTATGGCTTATTAGCTTATTAGCAAAAGTGGTGAATATGCACAGGATATCAGGACAGGAGTTTTTTTCAACAATCCCGTCGAATTCAAGCACAGCTATAATTTATTTTGATGTTTTAAATGTATTATTGTGTATTTTATAATTGCACCAGGGGAACTGCTAATGTGGAAGTGAGGCCCATTTTTATCACCACTCCATCACAAAAATATTACTGGCTACAAAAAAAGTAGTTTCAGTAACAAAAAAAAATACCAAAACGTTACATTTAAGTTGGATAACAAGGCTTTTATTTATCAGATCGGGTTTTGCGAGATTCAATCTGGTCGTAAATACTAAAATTCACTTTTATTAAATACTGTCTAAATTTCGTAATATTATTAATGATAATTAATTAGCACTGTTTACCCGTATTGGTATTCTTTAAATTACTTCTGCAATTTAAAGTTGTGTTTTGGCTAATTTAAAGCGGATCTTGTGCAAAATGTAACCCGGAGCACATGTCAATATGTCGGCAGGCTTCTACGGTCAAAAACTGGCGCAGGAGTGAACTTGACACCCAAAGGTACCACAAAATAATTAAGACTTGTTCCAAACTTTACACAACTCTACATTCAAAACTCTAATCCTCATGTACATTTAATACTAAAATAAACGTCTTAAAACAATAATACGATACCCACTTTAAGTCTGTAAAAGACACGAAACGTAGGCTTCGCTTCAGGTTCAGGGAGAGAGGGCGGATCAAGGGCCGGATCTCATTTCTACGTATTTCCGAGTCAAAGGTCACAGATAAAAATATTTTCCAAAATCATTTATTCATACTTAATCATAAATATTATAATTTAAATATCATTTTGAATGTAAATACCTTAAGTATTGTTAACGAAAAACAAAAATAGAAACATGTGGAATCACAAAAGCCGTGATAAAGGCGTCATCTTTATGTCATACGTCATAACATGCTTTTTAAAGGAAAGTGTAGTACGTAAAAAAAGTCCAAATGTATTCCACTAGATGCTGAGACTGCTGTTGTTGTGTTTCTACATATCTTGTACAGAAGGGGGCTCCATCGTTCTTAATATTCAGGACTTAATTTCGTCAAATAGGTTTAGAATAAAACAGGATAATTATACTGAACAAATATGTAAGATGGAAATCACACATAAATACTAAGCAAACCGAGGAATATGGCACTATAAGGATTCAATCTGGAGTTTAGACAATGTGCTTTGAATGAAATACATTTCATTTTAAAATGCGAAAGGACGGAAAATATACATATTGCAAACTTTTGTTTTTAAGGAAGGCAAATAGTTATGAATGTTTTTGATTTAGACTAAATTTGAATCTGCAACAACGATTCTCAAGGTGTTTGCATGGAAAACAATATCAAATTAGTCTTCCTTAAATTGAAGAAAAATACAATAATGCAACACAGGTAGAATGATTATTTCAATAACCTTTATTAAACTTGTCAAATATACAGTGCTGTAAAATATGTAGAGTATTTGTTTCTGAATCATTTTAAAGCCTCACAATGTTAGAAAGGGAAGGCAAACGTGGAAATGAAATAGTCCTGAACAGACTATCTGTCTTGCCAAGGCTGTGTGCTCTTGTTCAAAGTAGTAGCTTTCTGGATGAACATTATGTTTGGACCTGCTGAGACAAACGTCCAGGTACATTACTTCAAGTACTACTTCTGTATTTGTATTTCTAATCTGATGCACATAAATTCAGTGCTTATAAATATACATTTTATTTTTATTTGTTTTCCATGATAGCAGTGTACAAGTTTGATGAGAGGTGATGAGGGAACAGATATGAGCAATTATGCCTTTCACACTTTTATAGGTTTCTTTGAAAGATTCTGAGCTCTTGATAAAACTGTGAGAATGAGATCTAGCCTGCTGCACTGCCAACTCAAAACACTGCTAAAACACCATCATGATCCTGATGTGTGATCAGGTAACAGAAAACCCTTTGAAACTGAATCAGATGGATAGAAATGTACAGTAATTTTACACAATTATCTTGTCCAAAATTCAGCCATTTATTTATTCATTTATTAGACATTTTCTTAAACATTCGCAAACTGTTAGCATACAATCTTAGCACATAATCTTCGGTAAATCCCTTCATGACAAAGTTGGCATTTTAATATGTACAGTATATCAAAATATAGGTTTCAAGTCATTAATATTCAAGGACAGACAAATAGAGAATTACAAACAATTTAAAATGACTGGCAAAATCAGAGAACCACTGGATTTTTCCAGCTCTTACAACAATGAAAAATGCCATTCTTAACTTCTATATTTACAGCTGCTTTGTTTAATATTGAGTATAGTTGTTTTTCCTTCATTAAATACACCACACTTAAATACACAAAAATGAAAACATAAATCCTGTTAATTCACTTTTCCATAACATTTCCAATTGTATTATGTCAAACATTACGATAGCTTTGTTTTCAACACTGAAATCTCATAACCGTTCCTAAGAGTGCGGATTCGGGGTGTGGGATTGAAATCTTTTTGCTGAGTCTCACAGTTCTAGCAGCTCTTCCTCTTCCTCCTGGGTGAAGAAGAACGTGACCACTGACACCACGGCTTTGTACAGCTCCTTCCAGTTTGTCACGTACCACATCTTATAAGCTGCTTCACCAAGAAGCACCACCAGGAAGATAGCAAGAAAGACCAGGAAACCATGATCCACATAGTAGAGAAACTTCTCTTTGACCGTTCGCTGTTCCCAAGGCAACGCAGCCCGTGCTTCGCTGTAGTGGGCAAACAGCATCATAGAAGCTTCATCCTCATTGTAGCCTTCTTCGGCCTCTCTCTCTCCTTCAGTTCCACCTTCGGGCATTTCTTTCCTCTCTCTGTCTCTCAGCACACAGACAGGCACAGTTTGCTTTTCAACACTTTTTCAATGTTCCCTTGCTGATATTTGGGATCACAAATTCAAATACTGTATCACTGTGAGGCAAGCTAACTGCCAATTAGGCTGTACAGGAGACAGCATGTAGTCAAATCCGTCGGTCTCGCCCAGTGTCCTCTTTATTCCTGATCCAGAAGCTGGAAGCTTTCAAAGCTTTGAAGGTGACTTGCGGTCCAAAGAGTAAGCTTTTCTTTATCCTTCCCTTTTTACGGAAGAAGCTTCTGTCATTGTTTTTTGTTGGGTTGTAAGTTAAATTAATTGAGAGCTCTGCATTTGTCTGTTTTTCATCCGTTCCATACCCTCTCCTGTTTCCATATGATAATGTCTCCTTAATCAGTGAATTCCATTGTTTTAGCTGTTAAAACCAAGAGTTACTATGATACTACAATTTAGAAAAAGTGCTGTACTTTGTATTTTAGTTATGCTCTCCAGTATCTCTTTTTTGTCCTCTCTTACAGTCTCCTTCTTTAGGTATGTGGTGATAAAGGGAGTGAGAGAGATCTGGGAGGACAGATTAGACTCTGTTCTTTAAGGAGATCAGAAGCTGAAGAAATGGACTCAGCAAATTTAAATCAGATCCTTAGAGTGGGAGAGAAGTGAGAGAGGGAGAAGAACAGATGGAAGGTAAGACTATTGTAGAGCAAGAGAAGGGGGAGGGTGAATTATTTTATATTATAAGAAAAGCAGATATTAAATTATTAAATTCGTTCTTTAAATGGACCCTACAATTAATTTGATAGAAAACAATCATTTACAATTTGTAAGAATCTTGCATCTTTCTTTCAATGGACAGCAGGCAGCAGTGGGACACAAAGGGCTCTATGAGTTAGGGTTCACATCCCAGGTAAGCTGCTTTTTATTGTCCCCATGAGCATGGCACTTAACCCAAATTGTTCCAATGCAATACCCAATTAAAAAAAATGCACATGTAAGCTTTGGATAAGTGTCAGACATACAAATGAATAATTAGGTTCTAGACCCAGAGTAAAAGTAAAAATTAAAACACGAAAGCCACAATACACAAATACAAATAAACAAAAAAAATACAGTTTGCCAAGTTAATTAATATTAATTAACTAATAATTAATATTATGCCTAAAATATGTTCACAAGCAAATTTGCTCTGATTTTAATTTTTGTATTCCATCTAATTTTTTTAAAAGTGTTTCTATGTGTCTTTTGTTAAAAGAAACACATGCAATATGCAATTTTAAATTTGAAGTCACAAGTCACATTGAAACATGCAAATGTTATTATATTAGAAGTCTAAATTACAAGTTAGCAGACTCCTGTCATTGTTCCTGCTCATTTTCTAAGTATTGGATACCTACTTAGACCTGCCTTTTCCTGTTTATACATGCACAATTGTTGAAACCTTTGTTTTATTGCCTTTGAATCTTTGAAGTGGTGGTATGTCACCTGTGGCCTGAGGCCCTGTGACACACAAAGAAGCTACTATTTTGATCATGAATACCACAAATGTTTCTTTTGCTGAAACTATTTAAATAATACAGAACATATTCATATACAGAGAAGCAGCTGCAATTGACTCCTTAAAGCACTTATCCATTTTATTAGTGCAAAGCAAACTGTACAGGATGTAGAAACATACTGTACTATGTACTACATGTATTTGAAACATCCAGAAGCTGTGTATAAAAAGGATCTCAGTGTTTATGTTGATTATTCTATGTCCTTTTAAACTAAAAATGGAAAAGCAAAAATAATGCTTAAATATAGAGCAAAAAGAATGAGATTTGAATCAATTGAAATATTTCTCAAGCTATGCTTCTCATTAGTTAGATCTCTCCTAGAATATTCTGTTCAGTGTTGGTCAGCATATTACAAAAATATTATAGCACTGGAAAATTTTCAAGAAGAGTAATAAGAATAATTTATAGTTTTGAAATTGGCATATACAAACAGGTTTAAGTAACTAAATCTCTTTAGTTTAAAACAAAGAAGATTGAAGGGGAGATTCGATCTTAGAATATGAAATTGTAAGGAGTTTAGTGTCAATGAGGGAGTATTTCACAACTGAAATCTAATTAGCTCTTCTTTACACAGAGGGTCGTGGATGTGTGGAACATGTTTCTCAGCCAGGTGGTTAAGGCCTAAACTCAGGGCTCCTTCGAGAAGGGGTGGGAAAACGATTCGGTTAGCTGCTGAACAACCAACCAAACAAGATCTACCAAATGGTCTCATTTCATTTGCAACCTTCTTAAGTAAATAATTTAAGTTGTATTTGTGGTATACAGTATTTGCAATATCCTATCCTGTTAACAGTGTTTCTTTACACAGGCCTAACATCTATTATAGTAGGGGAACAAGTAAATGTTGAAAACAGAAGAAAAGAAACACAACGTTTCGGCTGTGGAGCCTTCTTCAGGTGTCAGCACAGTCTTCACACCTGGAGAAGGTTCCACAGCCGAAACGTTAAGTTTCTTTTCTTCTGTTTTCAGCATGGAATTAACCTTTTCTTGTTCCCTTGCAGCCTATGCATGCTCATTTTAGCTCTGTTCACATGGGGGGATGGTATTGGATTCCTGTACTCAAAAAAAGTAGAGTATAAAAGGTGGGGTGAGTTATCCAGAGTGTAATCAGACATTGCTGTCTTCTAAATCCTGTCTGATATTGTTATATACAGAACAATGTGGTTCACTTCTGAAGAAAGATGTGAAGACGGGGGTTTGAATTTAATCTTTTCTGTAGGGGGTTTAGACTTCCAAGTCACAAGCAGGGGTTTATGGCAGGAAAGGGGGTTAACTGATAAGGATTGCAGATGCCAGCTAGGAACCCCCCTGGGTGTAATGTTAAACTGACCATTTGCCCAGAACATCATAAACTGGCCAAATACCATGAACCCCCCTCTTTACCATCAGACCGAGTGACGTCAGAAACGGAGAAGAAAACTGTATATAACCCAAAAGTTTGTAACAGTACGGGAAACAAGACTTCGGCTTTATTGTTCCTTGCATGCAATAAACTCATCTGTTTTACTTCATCTCGGGATCAAGAACCTTATTTCTTCTGTTACAACACTTCTAAGATGCCCCTCCAATTCTCAATCGACTTTTGTACAGTGGTGTCCTGTCAAAAAGCACACCTCTTGATTACCAAGGGATATTTTGTACTTATTGTGCCTAATTTCTTATCCTGTTTCTAAAAGTGTTATCACTCTTTTCTTTTAGTACAATAAGATAAATTAAACAGATTGCAGCAGCAATGCTCCATAATAATAATAATGGACAAAGATCAATGTGGGATTACAGTGCTCTTTGTTAACAAGGCCACACCTACAGCCAGTCTTGCACAGGTTGCAGAGCCAAACAATTTGACAAAGTGTGTGTAAACTGCTGAAGGAGGCATTTGCCAAGCAGGAATTCCCCCCCAGCCAGTCAGATGACACAGGGAGGTATTATATTTCAAGATGAAGGAAATAGCTGACCACAATAAGGAACTGTGTGTTTATGCTATCACAGCATGTCATTGCTTCCTGGATTTTATATATACAGTCTCCAAGATGACTAATAATATAACATAATTTAAAGTTTCTTTCTTTGTCTCGTGTGCATTTGTGAGTAAAAACATATCACAGCTGACGCTCAATTTAAAACTTTAGTTCCAAATCCTACAGTTGATAACATCACTCTGTCGTTTATTCCTAACTACAGACATGCTTGAAATACAGTAAGTGAAAACAAACAAATCTTTGACAATGTACTTCTGTTTTTACAAAATGTTTATTCAGAATGTGACAAGACGAAGGCTCAGTTTAGAAATAATGTAAAATATTTACACTCTGACAAAAGAAACATCATTACATTCACATAGAAAATGGGACAGTGCATTTTTTATTGATTCTTAAACATTAATTAAGTTTTAGTTTCTTATGTACAGTATGCGTCCAAACTGTAAATAGTATTTGTTAAGGAGTAGCAAAAAATGCTGTTATTTTTTAACACCTATCAGTCTTTAATGGGGCTAACTTCAATGCTTTACACCATTTTCTATCAAATAATTATTTTAATAATAATTCTACTTTCTCTGTAAGTCAAAAACTACAAATTCAACACACACTCAGCTGAAATCAACGTGCTTAATACGTGTTAATATGCGTTTGCCATATTTGATATTTGAATAAAAATGACTTTGAAAAGTCAAAATTGGACCATAAGAGTTGACAGTTTTAATTAAAAATATTTAACTCTCTCAAAATAATCTCAATAGCAGAATCTTCTTTAAAAAAAGAAAATGTGACCAGTGCAAAAGTTTAAAGGTTTAAAATGGCAGTCAAACCAAAAACTGACTGCTTAACCACTAATGGAATGAAAAGTTATGTTACAAATACCTGAGCATAAGACGTAAGTAGCACAATCTTAAAAAAACAGACTTAAGAATTCTCCCTTTTTATGTACAGAGTCCCTTTAAGCTATGTTGTTGAGATAACAAGAGTATTTAACTGGTTGATGTAATCTTACAGCATAAGATGCCATTATTGTTTTTTTTTAAATAGGAAACCATTAATTGACATTTAATTATTTATTTAAAACCTTTTAGTGTTTTTTTTTGTTTTTCACATGCTGATCTGCATCATTTATTTGACACAATAAACCATTGAGCCACGTATATCAATATCGGTACCTTCAAAGCTTTCTGTTCCACATTGATACTGTCATCATTTTTATTTTCTGATTGCAAACAAAAGTCCAGCTAATTTTACAAACGAAATAGATTTTTTTCCATCTATTTAGTTACGTTTGCATTTTTCTTTTCAGGTAATTTGTTAACTGAAATGAAAATGCGGACATAAATATGCGCTTTATAGCTATGTCTTGTTAGAGTTTTACCTTTAAACATTTTTTTGGAAATGTAGAGATTCTTCTGGATAACAGGAATCACTGTCAATTCCTTTGCAGTTAATCTGTTTTTGCAACTTTTCTTCTGAGGAACAGTTATATTTATTATATTACTATGTCTGTGCTTTGGAGCTGTTGAGCAAGAACAGTTTTGAGTTGGGTCAGTGATGAGAGGGGGTCACAGGGGAAGTTGGGGAGATCAGAGGGTCCGGGGAGACCTCCAGGCCCTCTTCTCTGTAATCAGGGGAGTTTTGCTCTGGGGAATCAGGCTGCTCCAGACGATCAGCTCTATTCTGCATTATCTCCTCTGGCGTCTTGAGAAACCTTTTTAGAAAACAACAAAACAAACGGAGAATTTAAAAACCTTAGGCTGAAGACATAACTTTAATAATACTATATTAAAACATGTGTCTAGAATAAGCTGGGTGAAAATAAAACTTGACAGGAACTCACAAAGACCATCCATTTTCTAACTGCTTTATCCAAATCTGGGTCACAAGGCAACCAGAGTCTATCCTAGCAAGCAATGGGAACAAGGCAAGATACATCCTGGATAGAACATCAAGGCACACACAGACAGAAACATGCACCCTCTCACACCAGGGCTAATTTTCTCAGAAGCCAAGTAATCTGCCAGTTTGTCTTTGGACTGTGGGAGGACACCAGAGCAAACAGGAAATAGCCCACTCAAACATGGGGAAAACATACAAACTCCATGCATAGTGAACCTCAGGTCTGGAATTGAAGCAGGGAACCCAGTGCTGCAAGGCAACAATGTGTGCAACTGTGCCGCCTCCAACACAGCAATACAACAAAAACAGACATCACCAACAAATAATTATACATTAATTGTATAATTGTACGTTATTGTATTGTATTGTACAGTACTATGTTTCTTTCTGTATTTTCAGATTATTATGCAATTTGCTCCACAAATAAGATTGTAATTTCCAATATAAACAGAGTAACTTAGCTATATTGCTCTTGGTGAAGAAAGGGTATCCAACCCTTATTGAGCAACTAATGCTTTCCTTAACCAATGATTTATAACTTTATTTGTATGGAAAAATAAAAAAAATCCAGTATGCCATTTTCACTGACCAATTAGCTTTTCCTCTTCTAAATCCAAGAATTGCTTGTATAACCTTAGAAAATAAAATGTATGGCAGTAACTCAGATGTAATTTAACTATAACTGGTGAGTTTGTTAAACTTATAGAAAGTAATATTACTTCTAGAAAGTAATACTAGTAATATTACATTAATGTGGCTCACATGTTGTACAGTATATGCCGCAACTAAATACATCTATCACTTGAAACCTGGTCAAGGAAAGTTTTTAAATATTTCATGACATATCACCATTTCCCTGAATTGTACTAGAAATTATTTTAATACATGCTGTACCTGTGCAGTATTTAAGATGACACATTGAGCAAACATAAAAAAAAGTATCCAGGTATGAGCGTAATCATGCCATGAGTTTCATGCCAAAGAAAGAGCGTATTCAAGGTGTCAATGTGTTACAGCAAAGGAACAAGACAGATGGATCAAGGTCACATACTTCCATAATCACTTTCAGACAACAGCTGCAGAAGAATTAATACTAAATTGTCACCAGAGAATCAATTTACAGTCATCAACAGATTATAAGAACATGGCATATGCCCCAGTGACCATGAATAATCCAGTATTTCAGTAACATCACCTTGTAGCATGTCTCTGATAGTGCAGACAGCACTTATTTAATCCTCATCTTTAATGAGGGAACATATTTTTTTCTGACAAATATTGATTTCACTGACAGCACAGTGATGGATGAATACTATGCACAGGGCTATGTGGTAGAGACAGGATTGGTGGTGCTTCTGTAATAATCTAGTATGGTATAACATTCACTGAAATATCAGGGCTACCGATCATTGATTGTAACCCCATAACAGAAGAATACACTGCCAAAATTCTCAACCCAGTCTTCGTTCCCTTCCTGCAAGTTCACAGACTAGGGCTTGTACCACAGTCGCACAATACTCGCCTTTACACTGCACACATCATCTGACCATTTTTGTAACAGAAACATACTTTGCTAATTGGCTAATTGGCCAGGTGGGTCTATTCTCAAACAAAACTGGCATCGTCACCACCTCATGGCCCCCCTACATAGACATTTCCAGTTCTGTGTGGGTCAATATTTGGCCTAACATTCCTCGAGTATTCCACACCAATATCAAACCTTCAATGAGGTGCTGATGCCTTGCAGTCATCAACACTAATGGTGGCCATAGAAGATACTGATTTTATGACTTTCATTAGACTACCACGTGCAATGTTCTAGGGCCAATATGTAATATCCATTACTTTTTTCATTTGTTGTACAACCTAACCTAATTTACCTCTTTGCCATTCTATGCATTTTTTATGTAGAGGGGCACGTAGAATACACCATCTTTTAATCCATTATCTCTTCAAAGTATTAATAATTAACACCAGTTACCATTTTTATTAAAGTCATCTCAATTAATTGCTGGCTCTGCTTTACTGAGTTCCTGTGACATAGATTTTCTATTTCGGCTGAACCCCAGTTTTGGGCTTTGAAATTTGAAATTCTTTACCTATTGCAGCTCTGACCCCTTAACATCGCTCCCATTTAAAGGATAGTGAAAATACTGTACGTTTGTAAATATAATCGTGGGCCTGCTGAGCATTTACCGAAAAAGCAGTTTCTGTCCTGGCTCTTTCTTGATAATGTTGAGTTTGTAGTAATGCCGAAGTGCCCGGGACATTTTTTCATATGTCATGTTAGCTCTGTTCTGTAAAAAAAAAAGAGGAAATATTAAGCAATTTATCTCTGCCTCTGCTATAAAGAAGAACAAGGAAATGACAAGACCATCGAATTATTCCAAAACTTAATTAGAGCAAAGAAGTTGTCTATCAATATCCAGAGTAAGAAAGGTGATTATTTAATTGTTGTCTATTTTGCCCAAATAAATTGTTAAAATAGCATTACAAGTATAGTGATATCCTATATTGCATACACTGCGAAAGGAAATTGTGAGATTAATGAGGGAACCATTAATTAAAAATGTTATTTCCAACCATGCCATTGCCCAGCCTGACCACAACATGTAGCTCTCTTCCACACGGGAGCTCACATGGTCAGTGCCAGTCTCACCTTGTGATTACCCCAGAGACGAGCCAGGCCATTCGGATCTACAACGCGGAACACCATGGTCTCCCGGTCCTCCCAGCGGATGTAGGGTTCATAGCGGCTGTCTGAGAGCAACTGGTACACGTAGTCCCACAAGAGACGACAGTCTGATAGGAGGAAAAATCATTCCTGTCTTTTATGCCTTCATTTCACTTGCCTTGGTCCATCTACTGCCAGCTAGGTTATTTTCAATGCCTTTGCAATGAAATGATTTAGCTGTCACACAGCATGCATACTTAAAAAGGTACACCATGATGAATTCCATCTAAGTAACTCTATTTGAAAGAAACAAGAAAAGGTTTATTCCATGCTGAAAAGAGAAGAAAGGAAACACAACGTTTCGGCTGTGGAGCCTTCTTTGGGGGTTACACTTCTTTGGGTGTTTCCTTTCCTGGGTGTTTGCTGAAATGTTGTGTTTCTTTTCTTCTCTTTTCAGCATGGAATAAACCTGTATTTGTTCCTTTGCACCTTACGGATGTTGGCACAGCTACCTCCTTGATCTATTTGAAAGATACACCATTGAAAAGCATGCCCTGCTCTAATAATCAATTAATATTTGTGGTAATGCAAATCTTACCTGCAATCTTGCCATTGGCTTCAGTGAGTGGAGAAGAGGAGTATGAGCAGGGGTTTTCCACTCTATTGGAGAGGTTGAGAGGTTCCTCTTTGCAGCGCAACACTGTTGGAGGGGCTGGTGGATTTGATTGACAGATGTCATTAGGAGGGGTAAAAAAACGGCTGAGGAGATGAGTAACCGAATCTCTGACACAGGCTGAGAAAAACTTCTAGAAAGGCCAGAAACAGCCAATGTGTGCAGTTTTATAAGCAGACAATTGGATTCAAAGTCTGTTTTGTTGTAGAACAGGAAGTGCGCCCTGTTTTATAATATACTAAATAAAAAAGAAACTTTACTTAATGTAGTGCCTTTAAAATCAATGATCTCAAAGCTCTTTAGAATCCATAAAAGGCACCTAACACAAAATGAAATTAAAAATAACCACAATGCCAAGAAAGCAACCACAAAAAAGTTGGCTGAAAAAGTATGCTTTTAGGCCAGACTTAAATGCACCTGAGGTCTTCCAGAATAGTGATTCAGAATCGTTGGAGTATTTTGAATCAGTAGGAACACATCGTGAACCTGAATGATCTGTGGAAAGGCCATATGCAGGACATCGAACTGATAACATATTTGCCAGATAATGTATTGAAAAGCCAAATCGAGGAGAGCCTTAGATGTCAGGAGTATTTCAGAATCAACTTGAAATCAGCCAAGAACCAATGCAAGGACTTTGAAAGAGAAGTCCTTTCCTGTTTTCTTAGGCACCCCTGTTAGTACGTAGGAAGGCCGTTCCATTTTGAGGGGACAATAAAGGGTCATTTGGACTATATAAGGCCTGGGTTATGGGGGTTGCTGTCTCCCTAAATGATAGTTCATGTGATAAGTGTCGTAAACAAATGTTTGTGCCTTCGCTTTGCTCTGCCACCTCACTATGTTTGAGAATCATAGAAAGCAGGCAGAGCAACACAGTAATCACGTCATCCATTTGGCTGGTTTTCATGCCTGCTGACAGGGGAGCGTTTTATGTTTTTATTACAATCGGTGGCTTTTTACAATTAACCCCCACGTTCTATTACAATGGACAGTGCACCCACATCAGCTGCCACAAGATTATTAAAAACTTTAAAAAGAGCAGTTTTGGTGTTTTGTAAGTGTCTAAAGCTAAAGTGAAGGCTCAATGTGGTACTTTGCACTGCGTTTAGAATGTAAATACAGTACAGATCACTGCTATAGATCACTTTTGAAATTATTTTCTCCCAACATCTTGTTCATATTAAAAATGGACAAGTATCTTGTAATTGCCATGAATTATTTGTTCTTTCTAAAACTAACTTTCCCCAACACTGACTGCAATGAACATTGCAAAACCATTGTCCTGTTTACCTTAGCTGTGTCAGAAGAACACATGTGCAGAAATAATAGGGCACAACAAAGAAAGGCTATGTTCTTCATAGTATGTTCTTTTTTTGTTTGGTGCTTTGGAAATTGCCCTCAAAGTTTACTTTATTTTCTAATTCCAGATATTCCTGTTAGAATAACATTAATTACTTCATGTGGCATCTCAAAACTTTACTATTATTAGTAATTAATAGTATTCCTATTATTAGTATTATTTCTAACACATTATTTAAAGAACATGTGAATGATGTAGCACAGCTGTCATCTAATTCAAATTGCTCTCTATATGTCAATACAGTATATGTTCTTTCCTCTCTGCACCTCCAAAACAGTCCACTCTCCCACTGCACCGTCTGTGATATCAGCTTCATTCTGAAGACTGCAATCTTGACATGTGCCAGGACAGAAATATTTGATATACCCCCTCAACACACACCCTAAAAACAGCACCCTCTCAAATCATCAAGAGGACAAACGCTTATTTAAGACTGTTGAATAATGATAAAGTTATGTGCTTCTATCAAAATCTATTTGCAACAGCTCCAATGACATAATGTATTAATATTCCTCTACTTTTAATATATGACATGAAAATGTACACTGAAAACAATAAACAATAAATGAAAGTTATCACATTAAATTATTAATTTCCCGACCTCCAGTTGGACCAATAAGTGGGAATTGTTTTTAACCAATTGACTGGTAAGGGTAAATGTTTTCTTATCTTGATTCATACACTTCAAAGAAATTTGAAATTTGAGCCCAGTGATTCCGAAACCTTACAACATTAACATGAAAAGCAAATAAATGTAAGAGTCCTTAATCTGATAAATTGTCTTATCCTACAGCCAGCAAACCACACTAACACTTGTACCAGCTGTGGCGAGTAGGGTGACACAAATATCTGTCTTAGATGCAGTAGCATTTATGAAACTCAGAATCATGAAAACAAAAAAGGTACTTTTTTCTTAATGTTAGATGGAATGGAATAGGAGGTGCTTCTGATGTGTTCAAACAAACATTAATACACTGTGCAAACAATCTCCATGGATTAATACCTGGATATAGCCGGGTCTACCCTTTTTTACTAATTAACTTTAAGAAATTTTGCCAAACTACAGAATCCAGGATCAGTCAAAACAGGCCCTGCCTTTGATGGTTTTGGAGGGGGAGGTGGGACTTCTTTTCCCAAGTACAATTCCAAAGCTCACATCAGGGCATCCTCAGTGGAGCTCAATCACAGAAGCGTAGTCATACCTGGGTGGATGTGCTGTCCAGGGAAGGTGAAGACAGGCAAGGGGTGATCTCTGTCCTGGTACTGGTCAGCACTGCTGGTGGACACACGAACCATCGTCACTGGGGAGTTGTTTGGAAGAGAGTTGGTTGGGCACATGGGTACAGTCCTGTATGAGGGGCTACAGGGAACTGTAGCCACAGAGCACAGAAAACAAGACAAAGAGATGGGTGTTGGGATGCCCACCTTTAAGGAAAGAATAAATTAGATAATGTCTCATGAATATGCTCATCTGTTCATTGATAAGACTGTTTTTCTGAAGGTTCACATAACCACTTCTCCATAACATAAAGCACACTGTATCACTACATGTAAGATAGAATGCTGTTTCTGCGAGATTTCTTTAACTCTGAAGCTCACTTTAAAACCACTTATATATGTGTGTATCTTCATCTCCATTCAAGAGTACTTCTCCTCTCTTTGCCTTACAGCTCTAAATCTGATCTGATTTACAAATCCAGCATATTTTTGGTTGACACTCCCCAAACCATGTAACACGAACAGAAATAATTTCTTGTCAGAGGAATCCTGAACAAAGACACTGCATTAATAAAGAAGTTGAAAAAAAAGTCTCATTAGCTAGTGTAACTATGAACATCTATAAAATTATAATTAGCATAAGTCTGTATTTCACAAAAAAAACAAAGTTCAAACCTCAGCATTTTGTAACTACCAACTCTTTGAAATGCTCAGTCTGCATGCTCAGTCTGCATTCTGCATAGATATGAAACAAGCAATCTGTTAAACCAAACTACTCCTTCTTTGCTATGCTTTTCTGCATTGCATTTCTAGCATAGATTCCTAATTATATATATTTTTACCTGCAAAGGAAGTAAGCTTACTTGCATTTCCTTATACAGGAGCAGATAAACCTGCTCTTGTTCAGACACACCTGTTGGCACAGTCTCCAAACTCAATTTGAACCTTGCCAAACTTCCCATGTTTGAAGCTGATCTGGAAATCACCTTCCCTTCAAAAGGGGCTGGGTGTGTCTGTGTTTGCATGTACGTGTCAGAGGAGGCTGAATGGGTGTTCTTGTTGAGAACATGGCAATCTCTTGTCCATATGTAAAATTTGGTAAAACATTGCCAAAGATGAGAAAGTAGGATAACAGCCATCACAAACCACAGTACAGTAGAACTGAAGTGTACTAGAAGAAACACATAAAAATTGTTGGTTTATTTTTTTTCTTACCGAGGGAATTTTACCATTCTGTGAAAGTGGTTAGTGCATATTTTGTTTTCCAGACAAGAGAAGGTACTAGTTCCAGAGTAATGCTCTAAACTTCTCCACAGGATGTCATATGTCTTCGCAAGCATACTTTAGTCATTATTTTAACCTTTTGTTAACTGAACTCTGCCTACACACGATACCTTTACTCCAATTTACTGATTTACCTTATTCTGATAATCAAGGCAATGCACACAAATATGTTGAATTCAAACTCCCTTGTATAGATCTTAGCTATCCAACTAAAAGCAGTGGATCAAAATACATTCATCTTTGTTATGTTGAATTTTAAATGTTTTGCATCCTGTGTTCTGTGATATTTTCAAATATTTTCAAAAGTTATGTGTCACGGGTAATGTATGAATAAATGTGTGTGATGTTAACCAAGTGAAGAACTAAAGATGATTTCCAGATCTTATACAGTAGATAACCATTAAAGCTGTTTGGAGTACCCTGAACTGTTATCAAAGAAGTGAAACAAGAAAAGACAATAGAAGGACTGGAAAATTGAAGTAAACTACTAATTCTCAAAAGCAATCTAAAGGTTATATTTTTTAGAGGTAGTTGGAATGAAGTGCTTAGAATCCATAGGTGCATTAAGGTATTTAGAGTCTAAACGTGAGATTTGAGATTTTTTTGGGCAGTAATAAAAAAAATATATATATATCCAAAGAAGACAGGCGAGGTCTTAAAAAGCTTCAAGGTACAACCTTCCAATGTTATTGAAAAAATAATAATAATAATAACAACAACTGAAGAAAATTATGAAGGGATTCTCCATCAATGCACCACGCCATTTGGAAAATTAATAGTTCAAGGATTCACTTTGCAGTATTAAAACAATTGGAACACTATTGGCATAATATTAAGGGATTTTTTGTCTAAGTCTGAAATTAGAACATCTGAAATTAGAGCCATACCCTCCTCAGCATCCAGATCTAGATCAAATAATTAGGGATAATGTTGACAAACAATCATAAGTCTAGAAAAAGGGAGAAGCTTTGGAATGTGCTTCATGATATTTGAAACAGATTTGTAATGCCAGCCATTAAAATAGATACAAGAACTGTGCGAGTCAAATCAGTCAAAAAAAGCAGACAATAAAAATTACTATAAATGGAAAATTTGTTGTCATTTTAGATCTGCCTTTTTGTTAGTTATTTCAATAATTGTAATCTCTTGGTAGAGCTACCAATGTTTGTGAATTGCCATACCTTGTTTCAGTATTATATACCAATATGACAAAGATACTGACTTTTGTGAAAGTCAGCATCCATTCTAGATGTTCTCTAAAAAAAATTTGACCTAATTTGAATGTTGTGATTTTTCACTATCGAGTGTGAAGTGCAGGGAAACTTCAACAGGGAGACTTGTTGTATTCCTCTGACAAGCTGCCACAGGTTTTTTGTTGCATTTGAGTTATTCCCCTGATTCCAGGACTGCTGCCAAGTGCCACACCAGGAAGTTCTCTATGTAAAAATGACACTATTTTCTGGCATTGTAGGGGAATACCATAACTTAATTTAACGAACACAGAAAAGTAGCAGTTTCACAGGCACTCAGAATATCAGCAAGAACACAAGCTAATTTAATTTTTTAATGCTGAATTAATGCTGAACTGATGTCCCAGGTAATTATTCTTAGAGATACAAATATATTAGTTTTGTCAGTCACTGTGCTTGATTTGTCACATCATCAAATTTCATGTACTGCTGAAAAATGAAAACACACAGGTGGCGATTCTAGATTAGGTGGGCAACAAAAGGGAGTTAAGGTATAGTGAGGGGGACACAACATTGTGTTTTCTTTCTTCTCTTTTCAGCATGGAATAAACGTATTACTTTTTCCTTTGCAGCCTACGCATGCTGATGCAGCTACCCACCTGAACTACTTCAATATAATAATAAATACTCTACAGCATTTTCACTCCCATTTTCTGGACACATCAAACCACTGAATAGCCCTTTAACAAAGAGAGTTACAGGTGTACAGGACTTTAGAGAGTCTCGAGATATGACCAGGTACTCACCCCCCCTGACTGTGAGCTCTCTGTGTTGAGGTGTGTGGGCAGTCTGGCCTCCTAGAGGTTTGGGGAGGGAGTTACAAACCATGGCTCGCCTCTGCTGTTTTACATGCTGGAGAAGCTCGTATAACACATCTCCTGCAACATGGGACAGGACAAAAAAAAAGCTTTGCTAACCAGCGAGAATGAAATATAAAATAATATTATGGCAAATATACACAAACAAATATTATATATCCTTGTTGGTTTGCAGTTTATTATACCATAAATCAAATAGTCACAGTTAAGGTTAATCATCTCATAAAAATAATATAAAATACACACTTTCTAGAACACAGCCTGTCTATATGAAATCTCTTCAACAACTGCTTAGTCCAAATATGGTTGCTGTGTCAGTCAAATGTATTCCATTGAATATGCATATTCATTAATATTTTGTTTTGTTTTTATCACACATTCCAGGTGTTCAAAATCATAACATAAGAAATGTGAACATCACAAGTGATAGCAGGCCTTTTAGCCCATCTTGTTAATTTGGCCGCTATTAGCATAACTATCAAAGAATTGCATCTAATATATCTCTGTCTGGAAGGATCCCAAGGAGTCAGTTTCAACTACACGAGAAGGGAGAGAGTTCTACAATGCAAAAATCTTTTGTGCTTTTAGTCTAATATTTACAGTTTTTTCTAGTAATCAATAAGATCCTTAAAAACAGAATAATTAATTATATTGTCCCTTTGATTTGAGAAAGCTTTACTTTTGGTTCAGCTTTTAATAACAATCAAATCAGAGTTCCCAGACGTGGTATCAGTTTCATCAGTTTCTGTGGTTAAATTTAATTTTTGTGTTACCATTGACATGAAACAGCAACCAGTTAATTGGAACACATAGAAATGCTTATGACTGCCAGATAAAATCACTTATGGTGATGGTGTACTAAGCATTTAAGTAGATTTAAAGTAGGAACTTTCAGGAACACAGGACACTAATGTGATTCTTAAACTCCTTCAAGGCTAAGATGTGATATGAACAAAAATGTAAGCTTCCCAAAAAAGGAGGTTTGCTGGAGGTTGTTAATTTAGAATCAGCAGTGTAGCACATTGGTAAGGGTTCTGGTTATATAACTAGGAGGCTGTGTGTTCAAATACCAAGTATGACACTGCTGTCATACCTTTGATCAAGGTTATTCACTAAAAATTCTCCAATGGAATACCCAGTTGTATACATGGATGCTTTGGATAAAAGTGTCGATCAAATAAACTAGTAGGTAAACAGTTATTTAGTGCTTTGTCATCATAGATCTTATGTGGAAAATGTGTCTTTTGTAATGTGCGTTAAAAGACCTACAGTACCAATGGGTCCCATACTTAGAGTTTGTGTCCCTGCTCCTAGGAAACCCTTCTGGTCCACTCCCATTTGTCTTACCTGAGCTTGGACATCGCAGACGGAAGTCCTCCTTGGTGAGGAGGCAGAGTGCCTTGCCGTTCATCTCAAACTTAGACTGATCTGTCCTGCGTAGAGAGTATTCCTTCTGAGCCCAGCGCAACCAGTGACTCACATCATCCTTTCCCCATAAAGAAGGGTTAATCCCTGAGGTACAGAAGACAAGACCTAAGAAGCAAGTCTGAAATACCCACATTCTTTTTTACAGCTTCCCAAATCTTCTTGGGAGGACTTCTTGTCCACCATAAGCCTTTGAATAGCAAAGAAAAAAGGAAAAAATGGTTTCAAAGCTATTTTGTGCATATTTTTCCTCCTACAAAAACAAGTTGTTTTATACTACCAAGTGCATTACATTTAATACACTCCAAAGTTAAACATGCATGCTGTTATACACAAATATATATTTCACTAATCATCATCTTCTTGTTTTAGTATTATTGTCGTTTGCTATGAAGTATACCCGTTACACAATTATAGATTGTGACTTAGCCATTTAACATTCTGTACTATTTCACCAATACATACCAGGTGTAAACAAAAATGACTCAAGCATACCACTGTCTGAGAGACTCCTCTGTGGCTGGTGAACTATGCACACTAGGGGTTGCAAAGAACACTCTAAATACATGTACACTAATGGGCAGAACTGAAACAAGGAATATTCTAAGAGGTCAGTTATAGTGGGCTAGGAACATAAAATTAGAGCATTCAATTCCAAACCACATACACTGAACCTCTTTCCTTGGAGTGGGAATCAGAATTAGGTCAAGACCTCTGTAATGATGCCCAAACAAAGTTAGAAAATAGCAAGATAAGAATGAGTAGTGAGTTCATGAAGGCCAGTGTAGCATAGAGGAGTTGGGTCTGCCAGACTCTGCCTCATCCTCCAGAGCTGGAGAAGCAAGACAGTCCCATCTTCTTACAGATGAAACATCAGCAATTGGTGTGGCAGAAGTATTCAGTAGTATTTTATCTTTTAGGTTTGTACCTGCTCATTGCATCTCCCTCTCATCAGCTGCATGATACACTAGGTGTGCTTTCATTACTAATGAAAGAGGGTGTGTTGTCCTGGATTACCAACATGATCTATGTAGAAACTGTCACATCAGCACATCTCAGTGCACTTACACAATTCAGGTCAAACTACTTGTCACGATCCCTCTATCCCACTCTACCCATCAGGAGTTTATAAATTAGACAAACCCCAAAGCACTTTGTCTTGCACTTAGAGTGCATTACTATTCCACCGAAAAGGTCTTGGTACCACTTGTGTCTGAAGTGATAACTTCAAGACATTAAGGTAAGAAGAAACTTAGACCCCGAGGTCCTATGACAACTTAAACATTCAATATTTATGTAACACAGTGTGACTCAATTTTTAGGGGAGGTATATTTATCAGATATTGTATATTCATTGACTTCATAATACTTGTGGTAGAACATCAGTTCTCAAGCTAATTGATTAATTGATTTAAACCTTTTGATTCTCAAGATGATTCACTGCAGCAAAGTGAAGTCATATGGAATGTACTCACTGAGTCTCCCTGGCAGCTTGCAGAGCTCGTCTTGGGCCCCTGGGTATACTGGGGTGAGGGGACTATGGGGGACCACTAGCGCCGGAGGACAAGCTGGAGGGCTGCCACTTACACAACATTCCTGCGGCCATCAACAACGGAGAAAGGACAGAGAGTGGTGGGAAAAAAAAGCACTTTGTTTAGTAAAACTTTATCAAAATTAATATGACCTTTTTCTGACTTCTCTGGTGCATGCATGTTTAAATGCATACCATTTTGGGACAAATTATACATAGATTATAGGATAATTATTCAAGGTAAGCCTATTCTTTCCATTTCTTTTAATGTGTTTCAAATGAGCCCATGAAATGTAAAAAAATAGTATCCAAGAAAACTTAAAATAGCATATGGAAAAAAACGCAACTGCATTTTAATTAAAATCACCGCATTGGGCATTACAGTATGGAACCGCAGTCTGGTTTATGAAAACAACTCTGCAAAAGTCTTGGAAAAAATAGGCAAAATCATATGTTACAATATATGCATATTATGAGCATCAAAAATTTACTTAAACCTGCTCTGGTGTTTTCTACAATTATTACAAATATGATTATATTTCAACAAATTAATAACAAAACAAGTTAAACTGAAAGTGACCAACATGTGTCAAAGTGTTGTAGTAGCCAATCTATTACATTTACCAATCAGGTTTAATGGACTCTGTGCCCGGTGCTCCTAGTCATTCATTAATACATGTTCCTCTCTACTCATCTTTAAATCTAAAAGGGTACTTTACCTATAAAACACGTTTGCCTTTAAACTAATGGCTAAAATTTCAGCAGAAGATAAAGGAGAACTGTTTGTTTTCATAAAGAAGGAATAATACTCAGTGAAAAGAGTAGGAATATGCAAAATGTTACAGCAGTGCAGTCTGTTTTTTCGCTCATTTTGCATTTCAGATGGTATGTTTTCATCATAATGTACCTTATTAGAAAACATTATGTGCTATTTCATTATTATAAATAGCCGCGTCCAATAGTAGTCGTCTATATTACTAAAATTTTTATTTGTAGTGTATATCACACCTAGTATCCTAGCAGAATTCTCAGCGCAATACGCCATCAGAAAAAAATTGAAATCATGTTAAAAATGTAAAAGCGAAAGCAAAGTACACCACTTTTAAGACAAAGAGGATGGGAATAATAGCCTTCGAGACACATTTTTTATTTCAGAAATGTGTAGTTTAAACTTCAGTATTAGCGATATGTTTGAGATCAAAATGAAGACGTACTTTGCCACGTTTCAATCATGCAGTCTCTGTTCAATGTAAACGTACAGTGTGAATTAGAAAAAGAGAACTGCAATAGTCATCGCTTCCTTCTGTGCTGTTTCTGTTTTAAATTCTACTTTTATTTTAATTTCAATTTCAGTATATTTAGGCATATTACAATTATAGTCTGTTCAAAGCTCTCCGAGTTTTAAGAGAATAACTCTGAAGTCCAGGTGTTAATCTTTTTTTTATTAATCTGTACTTACCTTCAAAGGTGGTGGTGAGCAGCCGTCACACATGTTTTGTACCTGGAAGAGACTGGGAGAAAATCAAAACAAGTTTTCCAAAATCTTGGAAAGGAAATTAAACTCTGTCCAGACTGCGTGGAAAGCTTCTTGTGTAAACACTGACTAAAATAACTATATGTAAGACGAAAAGAAAACGTCCATGTTATTAACTTTTAGATAGCATGTTATCTTTTTTGAAGTACTCTTCCGGGAAACGAAAACGAAAGGGACCGGATCTGCTTATTGAATGTGTGGGGGTGTGTATTATGTATGTGTGTGAAGCAGAGAGTAGCACTGACGGACTACGGGAGAGCGACAGCTGATGCAAACTCAACACCTGTACAATGTACAATCACGGTTGTGTGTGGTCTTACTCTTCACCTGTCCTGCTAAATAGTATAGTTTAATTCTGTGGTTGATTATAGAGGAGTATTATAAGAAAAAGCAACGGTTTTTTATTTCTCCTTTTTATTATTTAACACCATTCCCTGATCTAGCCTATGTTTAAATGAACCTGAGAAGCCACTTTAGGCCCTATTATTAACACGGGTTAAACTGCTACAGTATATGCAGTAAACTCACATGTTTTTCATCATTGGAACACACTCTCATTTTTAAATATCGATAGGGAAAAAGCAGTCTTTTCCCCTTTTATTCTCTGTTTAGTTTCATGAGACAATCTAATAATCTACAAAGTCCGTGGAACGTTTCCAAAGATCAAACTACAAAAAAGGCAAAAAAAACTGTTGCATAAAAAATGCCAAAATCATGTTTTGCCTCGTGGCTTGGAACAAATCTAGGTTTATGCTTATACTGTAAATCCTGAATATGACATGCCTATAACGAACTTTGCGCTAATTGCAAAATACTCAAATAAAACATGACATAATGTAAGCTAATATTAAAAAACACAACAGCTGATGGCTGAAACTGAAAGCAAGGGTCAGCGTTGGTTAATATGCCAACACTCATCTTAACATCTTTACCCGGTGATAAATGATGAGCCTTCAGACAGAATAAGTCTACTACCACAAGATAAAAATATGGACTGACAGTTAATCTTTAGAATACTCCCAATTCACAAATGTTAGAAATAAGATGTTTGGATATGGTCAGGTTTCGTGCATTTAAAATTTGTATTTTTTTTTTATCTCGGAGGTCACCTGGTAATACTAAATAAACTGGCAATTGATTACGCTGAATCATCAGTAATACCGATTCATGGTAATGTTTAATGTCAACATTCATTGATGTAGATTTTGCTATAAGGTCAGTTATGTGTCAACTATTATTTCTCATTTTGTTTCCTTTAATCTAATTAATATCGAGATAACATTTTCATTATTTGTGTCTGCTCTTAATATATTGGTCATTTAGCGCATCCTTTGCTAAAATCCGGTCCAAAAGCGCCTCCTTTCGACTCATGAGAGAATAGCAATAATCAGAAAGATGTTTGCAACAATTAAACTTCCGTACGAAGGCTCATACTTCCTGGACGTTATTATCTTTTAAAATAAAAGCAACTTCTGCGAAGTAGGCTTTTTATGATTACGTAGTTCAGGTGGGTAGCTGTTCAGCATGTGTAGTCTGCAAAGCAACAAGTATTAGGTTTATTCCATGTTGATAAGAGAGAAAACAATGTTTCGGCTTCCTCACACCTGGAGAAGGCATCACATCCGAAACGTTGTGTTTTCTCTCTTTTCTTTTCAGCATGGAATAAACCTATTACTTGTTCCTTTTTATGATTAGGGTTTATTATAGTCTAAATATTAAATTATTTTAATTGCTTATTATGCTTTGCGTACAGAAGTAGATTTAGTGGTCCTTTTAGCGCCTAGTAATCACCTCTCCACAAGGGTCAGTATTGAGCAAGCTAGCTAGGAATTTGTTGATCTTCGGTATGTGCAACACAAATTAAATAGAGAGAGAGATAAAGTAGACAGCATGGTATAATACATTTGCATATTTTATTTTTAGTTAACTGTTAGTAATTCTTTGCAATAATTTAACACTTTTTTTCCCCCAAATGTAATATCAATTGACTTTTCATCATGCCTGACTGTGAAAATTGAGATTCAGGAGATAGTGCCCCAGGAGTGCCATCAGTGTGCAACAAGCAGGCACATACTCTCTCACAGACCATTTTCCTGTCTAGTGCTCATATGTGGTGCACAGACGATAATGGCTTGTTTTTCTTTGCCCAGTTGATTTGGTTTTACAGCATACCTAAAGCTGAATGCTTCACACACCGCTACAACACCCTTCACCCATAGTGTCTGCAGTAGTTCATCTGTCAGTATCCAACACGTGGAAAGGAATGGTAAAAGCAAGTCAAAACACTGGTCCATTGCAGTAGGCAGAGGTTTAACATGGCACCATTAAGAATGAACACATATGTCCTTGGATTGAATGTGCATCATTTTTCCTTGTATTTTAAATAAAAGTATTTCACCACTGTATAAGCAGAAGAAGAATCATATTGGTAACTTTCATATAACACATACAGTATAAAAAACCTGGAGCAAAGCATCTGTCTCAGATGTACAGCATGTATTACTTGTACCAGTGGCCACACACACTAATAGTCTGAGACTTTCACAGTAATGTTGTTTTTATAGAATACAGATCAAATAACACATTGTATCAGCCATCAAAAGAAATAGGCAGCAAAATGAAACCTGATGATACCTTAATTGTTAAAATCACTACAGATAAAGTTGAGGAAAGCAATATAAAAAATGTAGAAAAAAGAAAAGTGGCTAGCAATTAAACATTTGGTGCTAGTGAATGGATAACACTGCATTTGTCCAAGGAAATTTGCATTTGCTAGTCATCAGATAAAAAGAAAAGATTGAAGGTGGCCTACAATATCTGCCAGGAATGGTATTATTCAGTGAGTGGGTATTCCCATTCACAGCAGAGATGAGTCAGATGGATATACTTAATGCCAACAAAACGAGGAGTTATTTTTAAAGTCAAAAGAGATGACTTTAATTTTAAAAAGACTGAATATGAAAAAAAAAAACTGAACACTATTAATAAAATGTTTTTTATCTTACGACAATGTACAAAGTCAAGAAATACAGACAGATTATATGGTCAATATATGGATAGATATATGGACAAAATGTAATAACTACTCATACTAAGACTAAATAGACAAACACTATGGTGTTATAGTATATCTTATACAGAGAATGAACACACAAAAAAGTAATGTTTTTGAACAGTTTTGTAACTGTTGAAAAAATACAAACTATTCAAGGTAAGACACTGGTATGCGTTTCAATACCTTAAAATGTATATTCTGTGAAGAAGCAACATTTGGTAACTTTATAAGGCCAATTCCAGTGACAGCAACATTCACCCCGACTAAGGAAGACTGAGGAAGCACTCAAAAGTGACTTTGTGGTAAAGCACTTTGTTGTGTAAAGGTTAGAAACCATTTTTCTTTACCATTATGAAAAAATAAAAGGTTAGGACTTATTTAAACATCAATGTTTGCAGTGTTCATAAGAGTTGCTCATTTGAAATTTGAATTACATTAAATAATCCTTCTATCCTGTGCATTAATGTACATAAGCCCAGTTTTAAAATATATTGTAATGACCACGGGTTTCGGTATGTAATAGAGCAGGCGTAGGACTCGAGGAATGAGGTTGAACAACACATTTATTAACTCGAACCAGGGAAAGGTACAAACAAAGGGACAGGGGTTCCAGCGATTTGATTTAGATTAAGAACTTTATTTTCTTTTCACAAATAAATACAGAAAATCACAAAATAGAAAGCTTTACATTAATATACAGTGGTGTGAAAAAGTGTTTGCCCCCTTCCTGATTTCTTTTTTTTTTGCATGTTTGTCACACTGAAATGTTTCAGATCATCAAACAAAGTTGATGATATATTGAAATATTAGACAAAGTAACACAAGTAAACACAAAATGCAGTTTTTAAATGAAGGTTGTTATTATTAAGGGAAAAAAAATCCAAACCTACATGGACCTGTGTGAAAAAGTGATTGCCCCCTAAACCTAATAACTGGTTGGGCCACCCTTAGCAGCAACAACTGCAAGCAAGCATTTGTGATAACTGGCAATGAGTCTTTTACAGCGCTGTGGAGGAATTTTGGCCCACTCATCTTTGCAGAATTGTTGTAATTCAGCCACATTGGAGGATTTTCGAGCCTTAACCGCTTTTTTAAGGTCATGCCACAACATCTCAATCAGATTCAGGTCAGGACTTTGACTATGCCACTCCAAAGTCTTCATTTTGTTTTTCTTAAGCCATTCAGAGGTGGACTTGCTGGTGTGTTTTGGATCATTGTCCTGCTGCAGAACCCAAGTACGCTTCAGCTTGAGGTCACGAACAGATGGCCGGACATTCTCCTTCAGGATTTTTTGGTAGACAGCAGAATTCATGGTTCCATTTACCACAGCAAGTCTTCCAGGTCCTGAAGCAGCAAAACAGCCCCAGACCATTACACTACCACCACCATATTTTACTGTTGGTATGAGATCCTTTTCTGAAATGCTGTGTTAATTTTATGCCAGATATAATGGGACACACACCTTCCAAAAAGTTCAACTTTTGTCTCGTCAGTCCACAGAGTATTTTCCCAAAAGTCTTGGGGATCATCAAGATGTTTTCTGGCGCCTTTATGTTCTTTTTGCTCAGCAATGGTTTTTGTCTTGGAACTCTGCCATGCAGGCCATTTTTGCCCAGTCTCTTTCTTATGGTGGAGTCATGAACACTGACATTAACTGAGGCAAGTGAAGCCTGCAGTTCTTTGGATGTTGTTGTGGGTTTTTTTGTGACCTCTTGGATGAGTCATCGCTGCACTCTTGGGGCAATTTTGGTCTGCCGGCCACTCCTGGGAAGGTTCACCACTGTTCCATGTTTTCACCATTTGTGGATAATGGCTCTCACTGTGGTTTGCTGGAGTCCCAAAGCTTTAGAAATGGCTTTATAACCTTTTCCAGACTGATAAAATCTCAATTACTCCGTTTCTCATTTGTTCCTGAATTTCTTTGGATCACAGCATGACATCTAGCTTTTGAGGATCTTTTGGTCTACTTCACTTTGTCAGGCAGGTCCTACTTAAGTGATTTCTTGATTGAGAACAGGTGTGGCAGTAATCAGGCCTGGGTGTGGCTAGAGAAATTGAACTCAGCTTTCCAAAGATGTGATAAACCACAGTTGATTTATGTTTTAACAGGGG